GAGAGGGTCCAATCCACTGGTGCTCGCTTAAATAGTAACAAAAGTTGCATTGAGTATGCTGCTAAGAGTATACACGTAATTTCTACTATGACTTTGTATGCCTACACTTCTGCTATATATTGAGCATTTTTCTCTTGTAATTGTAAATTGAAACATGATAATGATACGGATAGTGAAGTAATTACTTAATGCGGCACCGTGTTTTTTCTCTTTTCTAATTTTGAGAGGGTTTGCCACGTTCTCAACAACTAGTATCAAAGTCTGGTTTAGTGGAATAGTGGGAGTAATGAAGATGGGCAAAAGGAAGGTAAAGATAGAGAGGACTTTGGTTTCTATAAAATGCTGATTGAGGATCTAATGTTTTAGAAGAACCTACATTAGCTTATGTTTGGAGAGCATCGAAATTTTATCAAGAAAGAAGATTGAGAATTGTTATTGATGGGTTTTCTTTATGAATGATGGGCCGCTCATGATGGGCTAACCTAGCCCATGAAAGGAAATAACTGCACTTGACAGTTATTGTCTAGACACAAAAAGTGAGAACACACGTAAGAGTGTGTGTGGGTTTCTTCATGATCAGAAACTTATTCTCACAAAAGGACAAAGAAGAAGGGATTTTGTTCAACGATCTAAGGATTGTTCTCTCTCTCTCGACGTTGCAAAAGGAACATTTAATCCGTGGAAAATAAGGTACGTCCCTCTTGGTGATGTACTTTAACGGGGATGTTTCGGGATGGTTTGATTGATAAATCAATTCAATTTGTGCCTTCTAATCTGAGAGGGTCCAATCCACTGGTGCTCGCTTAAATAGTAACAAAAGTTGCATTGAGTATGCTGCTAAGAGTATACACGTAATTTCTACTATGACTTTGTATGCCTACACTTCTGCTATATATTGAGCATTTTCTCTTGTAATTGTAAATTGAAACATGATAATGATACGGATAGTGAAGTAATTACTTAATGCGGCACCGTGTTTTTCTCTTTGCTGATTTTGAGAGGGTTTTCCACGTTCTCAACAACTAGTATCAAAGTCTGGTTTAGTGGAATAGTGGGAGTAATGAAGATGGGCAAAAGGAAGGTGAAGATCGAGAGGACTTTGGTTTCTATAAAATGCTGATTGAGGATCTAATGTTTTAGAAGAACCTACATTAGCTTATGTCTGGAGAGCATCGAAATTTGATCAAGAAAGAAGATTGAGAATTGTTATATTCGATCAAGCAGTTTATGCAGAGAATGAATTCAAGATGACAAAAACAACTCCCAACAGACTATAGCAAAACGGAGTTGCTGAGAGATGAACAGTACTCTAAATGAGCGCGCAAGAAATATGAAAATGCATGCAGGATTACCCACAATATTTTGGGCAAATGTAGTTAATACAACAACATACCTAATCAACGGAGGATCTTCAGTTCCACTTAATTTTAAGCTATCAGAAGAAGAATGGACCGAGAAAAAGGTGAATCTCTCACATACGAAAGTCTTTAGTTATGCTTCATAGTGCATTTATATTCTAAAAATAGAGACAAGCTTGATGTAAAGGCTAGAAAATGTTTTTTAATTGGTATTGTGATTATTTTGCCTATCAAATTTTGGGATGAACAAAAGTTAAACAAAAATAAGAATTAATGATGTTACGATCAATGAAAACATGTTGTACAATGACAAGTATGTGGCAGAATCTAGTGCAAGGAAACAAACAGAGAAGACTAAAGACATTGAATTGGAGAGGGTTGCTAAGAGTGTTTTGGTAATGAATCCCGAAACTAAGGATGAGTAAAACAGACTGATCAAATTGGGAACCTTCCGGACCGGATCGAACCAGCATGTTCTGGGAGTTCCCGATTCAGTTGGTTCCACCCAGGAACCAAGAACTGGACTAGAAAAATCGGTTCTTAGTTTTTTGGATCGGACCGACCGGTCGAGTCCGGTTCTCAGGCGGTCCATTGGAACTGATCATTGAATTCTTCCAAAGTAGATACTGCCCAAGTAGTGGAGTTCAGTGTGGTTGATCACACCTCCACCTCCGCCATTCGCAGCTCTCTTCGTCCTCCTCCCAGTCAACTCTCTTCCTTGTCTCGCCCCGCCTTCTTTGGCACATTTTCCTCTTAGTGGCATGGCTGAGCTGCTCATCCAGCGGAGCTCATCAATCAATCGATGTTTACGCCACGGCCAAGTTCTAGCGTACGGGCCTTCTTGTGGCATCAGTTCTGAGGCTTTTTAACAGTTATGCTTCATAGTGCATTTATATTCTAAAAATAGAGACAAGCTTGATGTAAATGCTAGAAAATGTTTTTTAATTGGTATCGTGATTGTTTTGCCTATCAATTTTTGGGATGAACAAAAGTTAAACAAAAATAAGAATTAATGATGTTACGATCAATGAACGGGTTGAGATACCGCCCAAGTAGTGGAGTTCAGTGTGGTTGATCACACCTCCACCTCCGCCATTCGTAGCTCTCTTCGTCCTCCTCCCAGTCAACTCTCTTCCTTGTCTCGCCCCGCGCCTTCTTGTGGCATCATTTTTCCCTCCAACACGCCATAACGAGGATTCATCTGGTAGCGATTCGAGCACTCATCCAGTTTTAATCTGCGTGAGATTAAGCTTAATTGATGGCTGGAGCTGCTCTCCCCACGGCGGAGCTGACCACCAACGGCTGCCCGATCCTTCTCGCGTCCATTATGCACATATTCTCGCTAAAGAAATCAATCAAATCGATGTTTGCATCGCCACGGCTCAAGTTCTAGCTGTACGTGGGCTTGGATGGGCGAGTGGGCGGCTTGGGGACGAGGTCGCTCGTGGTGACGCTGGTGATGAAAGGGAAGGATGATGTGGAGGCGTTTGTGGACAAATTCAGGTAGAATTGGGGCGTTAGGGCTTGGGAGAGAGAGAAGAAGAGCAAGAGCGCGAGCTCAGGGAGATTGATCATTAGGTTTTCATTTAAGAAATAGAAAAATAAAAAATATTTGGTCAGGTTCGAGCGGTCTGGTTTTCCCCGGAACTGGGAATCGGACAAAAAAATCACATGTTCTAATATTTTGGAATTGGGAACCGGATTGATGCTTTCTGAGAATTGCCCAGAATCGGCCGATTCGGTTTAGGCAATTTTTGATTCGATCGATCTGTGTTGCTCGCCCCTAGTTCCTGGGGCACCGGTTTCCGATTCAAAAAATTGGAACAGGTGATTTTCAGTTCGATTCCTAATTCCATGTGTGGAACCGCTAAGCTAGACTGCCCAGATCGAACCGATTATTATTATTTTTATATTCTTGAAAATCTGAAAAAACTATAAAAAAAAAATAAAAACCCCTCAAGCCTCAAGTACTCTCCCGCACGCAGCCTAAGCCGCTCCCTTTCTCAAATCTAAACAAAACCCTAATCTCTCTCTCTCTCTCTCTCTCTCTCTCTCTCTCTCACCCGACTCTCTCTGCCTCCCTCTCGCGGTCTCACTCTCTCACTCGACAAGTAGATGATTTGGTTGAAGAATTTTCTATAGGAGATAGACAAGGAGAAGGATAATAGTATTATTTTAAGTGATAGTTAGAGTGCTATTTGCCTTGTAAAAAACCCAATTACTGGCCTCGCGGGGGGTCATCGGTCCCTAAAATCATGTACCAAACACGGTTGTTTCGAAACCGGCACCGAAACTGACCTGGCTGCACACCCCTAGAAGGAGGAGGGGGATTGATACACTTCTCATATAATAGAGGGAAAATTTCAATTAAGGAAAAATTTCAATTAAGGGCCCCAAGTGGGGTCAAATTCCCAAAAGAGGGCCTAAAGTGAACATAATATCAAATAAGGGCCTGAAGTACCCAATCAATCTCAAATAAGGACCCGAAGTGCCCAAAAAGTCTCAAATAAGGGCTTGGGTCGCCGGCCGGCCAAAATGCCCTCGGCCGGCAAGAATGTTACTATTCTGGCACCAGAACAGTAACTTTTTAAAAATTTTTTTTATTTTTTCCTTTTTGTTTTTTTTTTCTTTTCCTTTTCCTTTTTTTTTTTTTTCTTCTCTTCCTCCGTCGGCCATAGGTCGGGCCGCGGAGGTCGCCCGGCTCGAGGCGAGGCCGCCTCGTCGGCGTCGGGCGAGGCCATCCTCGCCCGGGCCGGCGTCGGCCTCGCATGAGATCTCGGCGAGAGGCTCGCCCCGCCGATCGCCGGCGAGGCTCGACCTCGCCGGAAGTCGGGCGGCCGATCTCGCCCGGCAAGGGGCAAGGCCGGCCTCGCCCGGCGCCGGTGAATGGTCTTCCCATGGCAACCGGAGAGAGGCTCGACCTCGCGGCGTCGGGAGAGGCTCGGCCTTGCCTGGTTGCCGGCGAGACCACCTTGCCGCAGCCGCGAGTGGCTCGACAACGCGGCGGCGAGGCGAGCCGGCCTTGCTTGGTGGCGGCGACGACCAGGCCTCACCCGAGGTCGGCGAGGTCGAGCCTCGCCGCGGCTGGGCGGGGCGGTCGAGCCTGCCGCCTGGCGAGCGCTCTGAGGCGGCGACCTCCGCCGGCCCCAACTATGGCCGATGGAGGAAGAGAAGAAAAAAAACAAAGAAAAGGAAAAGGAAAAGAAAAAAAATAGAAATGGAAAAAATAATAAAAAAATTAAAAAGTTACTGTTCCGATGCTGGAATAGTAACATTCTCACCGGCCGGCGGGCATCTTGGCCACCCGGCTACCCAGACTCTTATTTGAAACTTTTTGGGCACTTCGGATCCTTATTTGAGACTGATTGGGCACTTCATATCCTTATTTAATACTATATTCACTTTGGGCCCTCTTTTGAGAATTTGACCCTATTTGAGGTCCTTAATCGAAATTTTCCTAGAAGACACGTATCAGACCAACCGGAGCAAAAAGAGGCGGGGCCGGATCGGACCCACCCCCGCTTTGAACGAATGATGCGTTCTCTTCTCGCTCCTCGCTTTAAATTTTCACCGCCCCCTTTTTTTCTATTCGAAAAAAATTGAATTGGAATCGCTCGCACTGTTCACTCCTTCTCCTCCTCCTTCTGCTGCTTCTGCTGCTTCTTCTCCATCACTCCCCATTTCCCTTTTACTTTATTCTGCTTCTTCCCCCACCTCTCTCTCTCTCCTCCAAAGAAAGTCGTCTCTTGCATCGAAGCCACAACACACGCACTCTCTCTCTCTCTCTCTACATGCCCTTCAAGCTCTCTTCCACATTGGGCCATCACTCTTCTTCAGTTTGTTCTTTCGGTTCCGGTTTCAAGAAGAGGGAAGAAGAAAGCTGGTAAATTTAGCAGCTCCCGGAGCTCTTCCGACGGTAACTACCAAAGGGTGGTCCATCATGGGTTGCGTCTCCTCCAACCTGCTGAGCCACGATGACGAGTTCTCCCCCCTCGGCACCTCCTCCGCCCTCGGCCACCACATCGTCTCCCTCACCTCCACCACCTACGGCCTCCTCACCCTCGACCCGCCCCCCTCCGCCGCCGCCGCCACGACTCCGCCGACCCCTCCGCCGCGGTTCACCCTCGGGTCCATCTTCCCCTCCCCTCTGGCCCTCTCCGACCCCAGGTCCTTCCGCTCCGAATCCAAGCCCCTGTGGTCCGACCCGACCCGACCCGAGATCATCAACTCCTGGGAGCTCATGGCCGGCCTGGACGCCGAAAGCTTCCGCTTTTCCCCTCTCCCCCAGCCCAGATTCAAAGACCCTTTTGGCACCGACAAAGAGAATTCGAACCCTAACTCCGCTTCCCGCGTTAATTCGTTCAAATTTCAAATTCACCCATCCCCCGTTCCCAAGCTGCCGCCGCCACCGCCGCCGCGAGATGGTGGCGACAGCGAAGTCCCGAGCCTGCCTGCTGACGTGGCAGCGGTGAATCCCGCGCTCGACAGGTTTGAGTACCTCTGCCCTCCGAGCGGGGAGGACCGGGTCGTGATCTACACCACCACTCTGCGAGGGGTGCGGAAGACGTTCGAGGACTGCAATGCCGTGAGGGCGGCAATCGAGGGGCTTGGCTTGGCGTTGTGCGAGCGGGATGTGTCGATGGACAGCGGGTTCAAGGAGGAGCTGAGGGAGCTGATGAAGGGGCGGGCGAGGGGGGAGGTCGTGCCGCCGAGGGTCTTCGTGAGGGGTAGGTACTTGGGCGGGGCCGAGGAGGTGATGAGGATCGTCGAGGAGGGCGGTCTGGGGGAGCTGCTCGAGGGCTTGCCGAAGAGGAAGGCGGGCGTGTTGTGTGAAGGGTGTGGAGGCGTGCGGTTCTTGCCTTGTTTCCGGTGTAATGGGAGTTGCAAACTGGTGGTGACTCTGGTGACCGTGAAGGAGGAAGGTGAAGATGGAGAGAAACCAGAGAGGGTTGTTGTGGTAAGGTGTTCTGATTGCAATGAGAATGGGTTGATCTTGTGCCCAATCTGTAGCTAATTTCTGTGATGATGTGGGTCTTGAACTAGGTGGTCCCTCACAGTTATTGTTCTAAATAACTTACTAAATCTGCGAAATGAAAATGCTTAGCATTTTGTTTACTTGCACTCGTTGTATGGTTCTATTCCATTGGTTTCTTGCTTCGGTTATTCTGGTGATTTGTTCTTTTATGAAATCACAATGTGCAGATGGTTAGGACTTCAGGCTGAACAGCATGGGTAGGATTAACATGATCTAAGCAAAGAATACTTGTAATTGGAAATGCTGATATTGACATTGGACACGATGTTAGACAATGATTTAATGATATTCTCGGGCCACTGCAAATGATTTTGGTCATCGAGCTGTGGTAACGCGTATGAGTTCTGTCAGTTTCTTTGCTAAATCATCATTGCAATTCGAGTCTGGAATAAGTCTTGAAATGATATAGCTGCTTCTCGTCTAGGAAATTAACATAAGCTAGAAGTATGGTCTTTTGAAACTGGATCAGCGTGAGACTTTTGCAATGAGCCATCTTTGTAGGCAAATGAAGAGCCAGTCTTCCAATCCAGGCTTGTTTATTGTGAATGTTAAAGTATTCTTATCCCTTGCTCTGTTCATCTTTCTATGAGGAGCATTTTATACACTTCCATCTAGGTAAAGCACTTTGGAAGAGAAGCTGAACGAGATATGGATCATTTTGTCATTGACGCAACTTTATATCTTGTAAAGACGTTTGCATTTGTGTTCTACTTTGTCTATGTTTAAGATAGACACTTTTAAACTATATCGTCGTGTTTGGCTTATATGAATGTTCCGCTGCAAGAAATAGTGTCATGATGTGTGCTATACGGCATAAGTTATGAAAAGACAAATCTTACATAGCAGTTGGAAAAGCAGATGCTGCAATGCACTCTTCTACATCTCTAAATATTTCTCGAGTTAAGCGATTAAGGTTTCGAATGTTCTTGCTTTGGAAATTTGCAAAAAGGATTGCTGAAGCTTCCACTTAAAGCATATGAAAGATCTGCAAGTTATTTTCACAGCTCCTGACTCATGAGAACAAACGTGTGACTTGCTTCTGAAGCAATGGCCATCTCTTTTAATTGAGTCTGAACATTGGAAGGTCTACTTCATGAGGCTGCTTCTGAATAAATTCTCATAGACCCTGCCCGTTCTCCTGCAAAGAAGGGCTTTAGACTCTGCGAGTGCAAGTTTGCTTATGAACCTGATTGATAGGAGTCTGGACGAGTATGTTGGCTACCAGCTAATTTTACACTGGTGGATAGTACAGTGAGTGGCCTGAAGAATATGAACCCCAACCAGTGATGCTATGCCAACAATTACTTTCCGCTCTGTTTAGATGGACCATTTTGCATAATTCCTAGCTACATTTTCAGTATGTATATGCTTATTTCGAGTTTGTTTGTTGTAGATCCTATCGGGTGGAGCAAATCGTAATCGCTTGGAATGAAGTTATTTCTCTGTTTAGGATCTTAATGCTGTCGGACGATAGTTGATGGTTGCTGCTAGGGCTGTAAAAAATTCTCGAACCTAAAATCTCAGGTCTTTTGGGTTGGGTCCCATTCTGGTTCGGGTAATAAGTAAAAAAAATTTGGTATCTTAATGGTTCGGTTCGATTGATATTAAACACTAAACGGCTACCCTCTCCTCCGCCTCCTCCCTCGCCCTCTTCGCCAACCAGTAGGTCTGGCGATACCCATTAGCTTCCTCCAACTTCTCTAGGAAGGTTGCCATCGTGTAGTGATGATGCCTCGCTCGAGATAATACCGATTTCAAACAGAACCTGGAACCGAGCGAGGAAGCGAATGCGGTGAAGAAACACAAATGGAACCGCATTAAAGAGGGTAGACCCCTTTAGGATTGTATGTGTGATGATACCAACAATGTGCTTGATGCATAGGATGATCGCCCTTTCCATGACGTCAAGCATGCCACCTGAGCATGAGTCCAGATCTCGATGCGTCCACGAACGCCCAAATCTCCAGAGCTGCGTCTATGGTTGTCCACACTCGAGCTCCGTTTCTATCCTTCATGCCGTCCAGATCTTGAGGAGATCGGCGATCATGGAGCCTCATCATCTCCAGATTTGGAGTCGCCTTGTCGTCGGTGAAGATTGTGTCATGGATGATATTACAGAGCTCGTGTCGCAATCTCGAGATATGTCTATGGTCATGTGTTCTACTCTGGAGCAAGTTGCTGTAATAGAGGAATCTGAATTGACTCGTTGCATTTCGGATTCTATGGGTGCGTTTGGTTCAGTATTCCCAAGGGGCAGCCCCTCGAGGAAATGTGAGGCGTTTGGCAAGTATTTCCCATGAGTTTTCGGCCGAAAGCCAGCATTGAAAGTGCTAAAAGTCCAAGGCTGGTTCGGACTAGCTTTGAGCTTTCAACATTTGCCTAATGCTGAAACCAATTTTTTTTCTTCTGAAACTACCCTCACTAATTCTTCAATATTTCAATTTTGCCCCTCATGACTATTCATCTTCTTTGAGCTGAGGGTGGCCGGCCAGAGCCGCCCAAGGCCAGATTGGGCCGGCGAGAGACCGGCGAGGTCGCTCGACCCCAGCGACGGCCGCCTAGGGTCACGCGACCCCGGCGAGGGCCACCTAGGTTGCGCGACGGCCACCGACGAGCCAGATCTAGTGCCGGCGGCTGTCGCCCAAGGTCGGGCGACCCCCTGCGAGGGTCGTACGGCCCCAGAGGGTCGTCGCCTGGGTCGTGCAACAGGCGGCCGTCGCCCATCGCCAGCTCCGGTGAAGGGTAAGTTTTTTTTTTTAATGAAAAAAATCCCAAAGATCCTTGCAAAATAAGATTTGCCAAATATTACTTGGGCTAAAGTAGCTTCACAAAGGATTTTTTACCAAACGCAATTTGCATTTTCCCATGGGGCTTTAAGTTAAAGGTATTTGCATTCCCCCAAAACTCCTTGGGAATGCTGAACCAAATGTTATGAGTTGAGTCTCGATTTGGGTCGCCAAAGAAATATATATTATTTGTGTTCAAGTCGGTTCGAGTATAAAAGGAAACTTGAACCAACAGGATTAAACTGACCTGTTCTGAGTGGTTCTCGGTTCAAAAAATTTGGAACCGAAAATTACTAGTTTGGTTCCTGGTTCAACATAAGGAATTGTACTGGCCCATATTACTTCGATTTTAATTTTTTTTTTAATTCTGAAGCAAACCCCATATTAGTAAATCAGGTTTCAATATTTTACTGAAATAGTGTAATTACTTCCATATATATATAGAAGCAAACCTACGCAGTCCTCCATAATTACGTCTATCCATATATATATTCTTTTATTATTTAATCAATTAGCGCCCCACCCCCAGCCATGTAAATATTATTTAATGAATAAACCAAAAATAATGCTCTTTTTTTTCTTTTAATCTTGGGAAACTCCCACTTATAGGGAATATAATAAACCAAAAAAAGAAGAAAAGGAATCACCTGTTCAGCCCTGGAACGGGCCTGGATCGGCCGATTTGATTTCGAAACCGGGTGAGCTGATTCCTAGCTCCATAAATTGAGAATCGACCTTGCCTGACCTGGTTCTAGATTCCAGAATGGGAACCAACCCACTCAAAACTGATCACCCTTACCTGTACTCCTGAATCACGAAATTTTAAAACGTGAAACCTACCACGTCCAAGACTAGGAACAACAAGATCTGGCCAAATGAGAGTCAGCGTTTGGTGCCAACAGACCAGTAAGGTGGGGCCTGTCGACAAAACCCATATGCGTGTGGGGCAAATGGGCCCTCACTGCGTCCCAGCTACCACCGTCAATTGCCAAAATGAATCCGCTTATTTCTAAATTTCCAAAGAAAAGAAAAACGCTTTTCTTATTCTCTGAAAGGAGTTATGCTTAAATCATCCCATAAATTCTGAAAGTAAGGGAAGGTATGATTAATCTTAACATTGGATCTTTGTTGCCCTGAGTTAGAATATAGATGGGATTGAACTCAAGTGGAGCAAATTGTGTGGTACGCTTAGAACCCCCCTGATTGAATTTTCCGACGCTTATAAAATACTCGACTGGTTCAATTATCAGAAACGATGCATTGAGAAGTATCCGATATCAACAAAAGAATTTCTCGGCCTAAGTGAACTTTATCTATCACGAGTCTAGACTCACGTGGACTCCGTACAAAGAGAGAATAAGGAATGATCTCGATCAACTGAAGGACATTGAAAGAAGAGATGCTCCATAATAATCACTTATCTCTAGGAGGGCTTTATAAGGGTGAGCAAGATGGACCGCCCAAACTGGGACCGGACCCGACCAGATCGGATCGACCGGTTTGTTCTGGTTCTCGGGAATATCGGTCCGGTTCCCGATTCCTAAAAGTGGAACCGGTTTCTGGGCGGTCAGGTTCCCGGTTCTAGGGTGGGAACTGGACCAGATCCGACCGACCGGACCGAACCGATAAATATATATTTTTCTAATTTTTTCGTATATATAATATTTAATATATATTAAAAATATTTAATATTGATCTCATTGGAACCGATTGTTCAATTTTTTAATATATTATATATATTTTTCCAATTATTTCTATGGCCTTATGAGATCAAATAAGAACTACAAAGAAAATAACGGAATAATCGGTTCTCGGTTTACAAATAATATTTAATATTAGTCTTATTGGAACCGGACCGGACTGATGGTCCGATCTGGTCCAGGGTCCCAAGACTAGCTGGTCCGGTCCCCGGTCCTAGAAACTGGGAACCGGTCCTCCCGGTGACCGGTTTCCAGTTCTCGGGTTGGACTGGACTGGATCGGGAACCACTCACCCCTGGCTTTAGATTTTTTTTTTACAATACTGGTGTGGAGACAAGACAGATCAATCTAACGTAGAGTACATTGACAAAACCTCATTACCCCTATGGACGGTTTGACCGCCACATGCCAAGATATATTAAACTTCTCGTAATGTAAAATTGTATTACCAATTGTAATAACCAACTGACACTTGTCACAGTTTGGCCACCACATGTCGACATAAACTCGAAAGGCACAAGATGAATAACGTCTAAATAGTCATTTGGAAGCCGAGAAATAGGTTTGGAATTCTTGACCCCAACCTTAAATCTATGTATTGCCACCTTCCTTCGTATCCTAACTTAAGCATTGAAGGACCAATTCGGGCTGAAAACCCAGGCGCCCTAACCTGCATTCGTGGTTACAGGTAAGCTTTGACAGATCTTTAGAGACCGGAAAAAGCACACATACATAAGACAGTTTGCAATTCTTTTTTCCTTTTTTTCTTTAATGATCCAGAAAATGAGCATCGAGATCCGGTTACTTGAAAACCCATGAAATCCTATCAAATTTCATGAACCGGTTAAGTCTAGATCTTCACCATTCATATGTGGTGTAGACCTAGAACAATTTGCTCGCATACGAGTCTCATGGAGCATCATTTACACCTTACATTCCCCAAAAACTATTTGCCTTTTCTTGTCTCATCATGTTATCTTTGTAGGGTGTGCCGTTAGGTAAGATAAAAGCTCTCTCTCTCTCTCTCTCTCTCTCTCTCTAGAGATCACGATATTAACGAACTGATGAAGCACTTCACCGAATGATGATGATCCACAAACACGACACGAACCTACCAATTGGATATCAAATAATTTTAACGTGTGAGGCCCTCCATGTGCCTCAAAGTCAGCAATGAGCCATGATTAACCACGTCGACCTTTTCCATATTAGTTAACATCTTTTGTTAAGACATTAAGCTTCGTTGATGCATAATTATTATAGGCGAGAAATTAAATATAGCTCCCAACATCCCAAAAGAAGCTAAAACAGCAATTCATAACAAACAACAAATCCATGTCGCGTTGAAGATGAGGTATTGGAGGACCGAATGCCCGAATGCCACTGCATTGATTATTTCAGATCATGTGACTAAGCATTATTTAACCGAGATTTGTATAGAAACACGTTTATTCCTAAGTAATCTATGTACACAGGAAAGTGTAGTAGCTTTGCTATAGTAGCTGCTAATTGGTTATTGATGATATATCTTGGCTATAATTATACTGACAAGTGGTGCAACGGGTTCGATGGCGTCACCGACGATGACTTTCCGAAGCTCCAATCGAAACTGTTCTCACTACTGTAAATTTGATTGGGTCTGTTTAGCTGCAGCAGGGACAGTTGCTCTCCTTGATGATCACCTAGAGTTGGACTGGCCAGTACCGGGTTCGAAGCTCCGGAGTAGGGTGATTGCTTGGATGCGACGGTCATCTCAAGCTGGCCATTAAGTTGCGAAGCGACGAGCCGGTCCAATGCGACCCAGTCATTAATTCCAGTATTCCCAGCTTTTGGTTCATGATCAGAACTGGTGTGCTTGGGGGAGGGGTCATCGCTCTCTGGTATGCGGATTTCGTCGAACTTTTGATAAAATGTCCTCAAGCCGGTCTCTTGACCCAAGTGTGGACTCTCATCCAGTCTTGGGAGGTGCAAGAACTTCCCATGGATCAGTTGAGTTTGCATATTGGTGATGTTGATCGGTGCTGGATAATTCTCCGGTGATTCGAAATTAGTCCTTCCCATGTACGATAGTATCTGATCCAGGACACTGCTGTCTGTGCTCGCACTCATCAGCATCTCGGTGTCCATGGACGAGGTCGACGTGCTCTTAGGACTCTCTAGTGTTCTATGATGATTCTTCTTCCTAAATACCCGGCAGACCACCCACCCATCTTCTGGCGAGGACTCGCAAACCAAACTCGGACCCTGAATTTTTGTTTGTCCCAAAACATAAGCATGAAAGTTTGTTCTTCTAAATATTCGCTTATCTATGCTGATCTAAGATGAGAGTGGATTTCAAAGAGGGATTGTGTGAATAGTGGAGGGAAAAAGTCTGAGCTTACCACGGAATTGTTCAAGCTCTCGTCAAGCCTGTACTCATGCATGATCCAGTCCGACTTCTGTCCATGCGGGGCTCGTCCTTTGTAAAACACGAGGGTCTTCCTCAACCCGATCCTCGTAGGGCCACTGTATATGATCTTGTCGCGGCCGGTCGCCTTCCAAAACCCCACGGCTGTCGCGCGGTTCGTTCGAGTCCCAGTCGGGTACTTCTTGTCCTTGTGGCTGAAGAAGTACCAATCGCTCTGAGGCCCAGATCCTATCTTGCACTTCTCTACATGTTTATTCAACGATCCATGAAACAAACTTCGTTCGATCAGGAATCAGAAACAATTACAAACTAAGCGATCGAAGTGGAAACAAAATCAGATGAGAGGTTGTAGTAGTACCTTGGATGTCCCACGGCTCAAGCTTATTAAGATCGACCTCGCGAATCACATCCAGATCGATCTTTTTGTGAGACATTTTCTTTCTCAGATAGTAGTGCAGAAGCTCCTCTTCCGTTGGATGGAATCTGAAACCTGGAGGAATCTGAGACTGGCCATTTATGGATAAATTCATATCCATCTCTTCTGACGCATATAGCCTGAAGTTATTGATTGATCCTTTGGATGAAGCAGAAGCTTTTGAAACTTCAAAGGGGTTATGTATCTTCTAGTGTTCTGATGATATAAATATATAGCATACCGCTTTGCTTTTGGAGAGACTCACTGTAAGGTGATGAGAGGTTTTATGGTGAGAAAAGTTCTCCTTTTAGACATGTAGGGACGTGCGTAGAGGTGTGATGCTGGTCACCTTTTCCTCGATCTCTATTTAGAGGAAACTTTCTCTAACCAATCTTTTGATCAGTGAATTGCGAATATGATAATCCATTAATATCTAGTTTAGTTTGTATGCCAATGATATTTTTAATTTGTAACCCACTAATTAAAGAATTCCTATAGAATTGCTCAAGCGGTAGCTGATAAGAGCGTGCGTTGTCATTGCTCTAGGCCTATACTCAAATGACAACATTTGTGCATGTAATTGGTGTAACATCCCGAGTCACACATAAGTCCCGGAGAGGCCATATTGAATCATAAGTCAACACTCACCACTAAATGGTTGCCACCTTGTCTGGTTAAGTCGAGTACCCCTTTTAAGGATTCACGTGAAATAAGTAGAGTCATTATAGATGGTATCAGAGCGGGGATCCTTTAATAAATGTGTGGTTCATGAATGTTATTAGGCCCAAACCCGATCCAACAAGGGCAGGGAGTGATTGTCGCGGCAAGACGGCTTGGACAAGATAAGGCTCTCGATAGGTTTCTAGGATGGTAGATAGGGTAGGAGACCACACGTCAAATAGAAGGAGCGTCTTTAGACAATACGGGCTAATACTGACGAGGATGTTAGTTTTTTAAGTGAGGGAATTTGTGATATCCCAAGTCTCATGTGAGAGAGACCCTGTTGAGTGATTTTTAAGTCAACATCCCCCTAAATGATTATCACCTTGTGTGATTATTTCAAATACTCCTAATTTTAGGAGCATGAGCTCTGTGGAATGGATCGGGATGTTACTATTGGTGCCACGCTCAAGGGCACAGAGCTACACGTCTCCAGTAATTATTTAGTGCCTGGGAGACGGGTGGACCACCAATTCAATGGGGATTCTTCGGTACTCATCGATCCTAGACACTCTATAGCTGTTAAAAAAAAGCCAATTAAGGCATGATTAGAGACTTTCCAGTTAGGGATGGAGAAAAACATAACCCGTTATGCAATTAGACGATAGTATATAACTATTGTTGTAGTAGGATTTGAAAATAGGTACAAAACTCTACAGCTGCATGGGAGTTTTGTCATTTATTTGTTTAGTTTTCAGCTTGAAAGCATCATAAAAGAGATGGGTGTCGTCCGCGCAAGTGACAAAAAGAGAGAGAAGCAGCTGAGGGTTTTTGGTTCTTGTGGGACTTAATTCCTGATTAGATGTACACGTGGCGTAATACGAATGGCGCCCCATCATAATAAGTTAGCTTTACTTAATTAGAAGTGTCCGAAATCTAAAATATTTCTTAAGGAAGTGAAAGGGTCAGCTTGTATGCATACAATTATAGAGATATTTAGATTGCTTTATCAAATTAAGGGTGATATTTTCCTTTATCCGATTGGTGTACGTTTGAACCCAATTAGGATCAAGCATGAGTACTGTCCATATTTGTAACCCGCCAATAAGTGTGGTTAGAGAAATCTCGCTCCTATCGGGCCCGAAATAAAACATGATTTTGGGATCAATTCATTGAAATGAAAAAAATGAAAACCCAATTAGAAAAGAGCAGTAGCTAGACTCCTAGTGCAAGGTGCGCAAGCGGGTATGCCTCTCCATCTCTCAACTACGACCTTCGACCTCAAAATCTGTGTGACAATGACCTCTTAATTAACCACCATCTTACCCTCCCACTCGCTCACGCTCTCTCTCTCTCTCTCTCTCTCTCTCTACTTGCTCAACCACCTCAACGAGAAAAGAAGCAGGAAAGTGATGATGAGGTCGGAGGCACTGAGCTTTCAAGAATGTGGACTTTTGTTGCAGACCTGGGGTTTCCCCGTCTCTATTGTGCTGCTACAGCTCGAAAGAGCTTCTAACCCCAATATGAAGCCCATTAAGCATAAACACCGGATATACCATTGTGTATATATGCATAATCTTTGCATGGCCCTCCACTTCTTGAAATTGCCAGTGGATATGTTAAGATTAGGTGCACTGATTCGACAAAATATAGAGTAAAAAAGGCAAAAAAGAGAAATCGAGACATAAGGCTTTATCTTGGTAAACTCTTAAACTAGGGTTACATCCAGTAGATGATCCCACTACAATCAACACCTCTCACCTTTCTGTTGCAACTTCTCAATTACAAGAGCGGGACCCTCGTGTCTTTCTATCGATGAAGAGTATGAACTACATCCCAACATGATAGTGCATCTCCGATCTTCCATTGTCTTCATTGAGTACGTAGGGCTAAGGTAGGTACATACATGCTAGGGTTTATGATTGATGATGAATCAGTTACCTATATACAACTTATCGATGATGTCTTTTTAACGGTATATTGCAACATGTATCAAAGATGATAGAGACCGTTTGGTATAGCATTCTCATTCTCATAATAGTTCTAGCTATGAAAAGGAGCGATGTAGTTTCTATGCGACCTCATTGCTACAGCACCTCCAAAGTCATAGCTGGTTGCAACTTCCAAAAGCTTCTCGATGGGTTGGTAATTGTTTTTTATACGACCCGTTTACGAGGACAAGTAGCTAAAGGGGTGTTCATATCAAGCTCTTTGCTAGTAGTTGTCAACTACTTTCGATTCTTGCCTGCAACTATCCATTCGAATTTTGAAAAAGAGACGCCATTTAGATATTGAAAAACTTATATACAATTCTTCTGTAGATATTCAAATGTTTGCAAAACGCTCAAGTATTTCGACTGAAATGAGCTTATCCTGCATTACCTGAACTACAGATCGAGCTCCCTAACGCATGATGCGATGATGACGCTGTGTTTCGCGTGAATTTCAATCTACATCAGTCTTTAATTAAAATGCTTTTAAGTTAATTTATCAAAAGTGCATGGATAATGGATTGGGGGGTTAACTAAGTTCTTTGATTAAACCGGTCTGGTAATACATCGTGCGCTTTTCGCGTACCTCGCATAGTGTCAGGAAAGTGATGATGTCGCGCTGCGATAATTCCCGGGACTAATCATGATTATCTCCCGGGTTAAAAGTGACTGAGCAACTACCTCTCACTAACTTGCACTCTGACATTTCATCCAACTTTTGATGGAATGGCCTTGTCTTGCTCACGTTAATTTCTTTTGAATTCCACACCTTCTTACATATAATTATTTTCTCGGGCTCGGGAAGATTATTCCAAAAATCCGAAACTTATTGCATTTTTATCAATGAAGTCCTAAACCTTTTCACATTTTGCTAATTGAGTCTATCTCGGCCAATTTTGAACGGAAATCGCTGACGTGGTTACGGCCGGCGTTAACGTTGGACAATTTTTAATAAGATTTTAATATCGAATTTTTAATTTATTTATTTTTATTTTTTTTCTCTTCTTTTTTCCTTTCCTTTCCTCTTTTTTTTAAAATTTTTTTTTTGTTCTTTCTTTCTTCTTTTATCCAAACCTTGGTTGGCAACGAGGTCATTGGCCACAGGCGAGGACTAGCGACCCTCGCCTGGTCTGGTGAGGGCCTGACGACCTCACTTATGGCCGGTGACCTCACTAACCAAGGTTTGGAAAAAAAAACAGGAAGGAAAGAAAAGAAAAGAAAAAAGAAAAAAAAGGGAAAGAAAAGGAAAAAAGAAAACAAAAAATTAAAAATTTGAAAAAAAAATTATTAAAAATTGTCTACGTCAGCGCTAGCCATATCACGTAGGACAGCCGGCATCCATGTCAGCGATTTTTGGTCAAAATTGATCGGATAGACTTAATTGGCAAAACGTATAAAATATTTATGACTTAATTGGCAAAATTGAAAAGTTTATGACTGAATTTGCAAAAGTGCATTAGATTAAGAATTTTTTGGATAATTTTCCTCTCGGACTCGGTAGTTCCATGAACTTGAATTCTTTTGGGGTTTAGCAAAGGGAAACTATTAGGGTTCTTTCAAGTTTGATTAGTGTTAGGGATGGAACTTGCACAGTGATGGTTGCACTTAGTCTATGGGATATGTCTATTGTTCTTCTTAGGGGATATTAAGGCATTTATTAAACATATTTTATAAGAAAGATTTCAAATCCTTGTTAATATCTAATGTTTATTGCAAATAGTTAGCGAAATGATGAAACAACAGGAGAACTTGCACTTAAAAAGGGTGTGATTATTTTGGAGTTATTAGGTCATTAAGAAGAAACTAGTTATTAATTCTTTAATCTGAACTGAAGTGCTTAGCCTTTCTTCCATAGAAGGATGAAGAGGTAAACTTATATTCCAATGTACAAATGTCAGCCAAGATACTACATAAAGAAATAAGTATCAAATGTATAGTTAATGGAACACCCAATTTAGGTTTGAAGATACCACTTTGGAGAGTCGCACGTTAAAAAATTTATATAACTCGGCATGTCATCTTGAAATCCCTCGAAAGCATTTGGTAGTCTGGATTATTTGGCTGGATAGGACATGAAAGGATCAAATTGGATAGACTGTGAGTTCAAATATCTCATGTTTTATTTGGTCGGATAATTATGAAATGAAAGGCCAACTATCTAATTTGGCATTTGGTGTGTTGTGGAGACATAAGATAGAAATGAAATTTATTAATTGAGAAAGCTTAATTTGAAAAAAACAATGATATTGGATGGTGGAAGCATCGACCATTGCTCAAAACAATCGTGTGACCATATTACGGGTGGTTGCTTAAGAACGACGACTTATGGTGATCTCGAACCTCATATCTAAATCACGAAGAGAAAGAGAGGGAGATCCGCCGCCATCACAACAGTGTTGGCTTGAGAGTTGCGACAGTGTCTCCATGATAGCTTTATTAGAGTAATTAAATATTAAATCACACATTCATCTAACAATTTAAGCTTCTAGAAGAGTTGATAAAGCCTGATTATGACGGCCATATTGATGGTGGTGCATACAAGTGGGGCTCCTCTGTTATCACGAAAACCCGCAAACTGGTACATTTGTGACAAATTTACCCAAAACTAATTTTTTGACAATCAAAAATCCTAAACTGGTACATTCGTGATAAATTTACCCTTCGTTAGTTTCTGTTAAATTTTACCAGCAAATTACCGAGTTAAATAACACGTGACAATTGATGAGAGTACTAGTTTGGGGTTTTACCCTCCATTGGTCACATGTGTACCAGTTTGTGATTTTTCGTGGTACCAATCCAATTTAATGGAAATGAACGAAGGTAAATTTGTCATAAATGTACTAATTTGGGGGTTTTTAATGGTTAAAAAAGTAGTTTGGGATAAATTGTCACAGGTGTATCAGCTTGGGATTTTTCGTGGTATTAACCCTTTAATTCATGAGGAAAATGACACAAATGGTTCTCGAACTTTGGCCCAATGCGTAATGTAATCCTTAAACTTTTAATTTGTTGAATGTGGTCCCTAAACTTTAGCCCAATGTACAATGTTCGTCCCTAAACTTTCAATTTGTTCAATATGGTCCCTAAACTTTTGATACTTGTTCAATATAGTCCATAAACTATATGAAAATGTTCAATGTTATCTCTGGACTTGAATGAATTAATGGAAGGATGACATTGAACATTTTCATATAGTCCATGGACTAACTTGAATATGTACGAAAAATTCAAAGACTATATTGAACAAATTGAAAGTTCAGGGATGATATTGCACATTGGGTTAAAGTTTATGGATCACATTGAACAAATTAAAAGTTTAATGACCACCTTTCACATTGGGTAAAAATTTAGGAACTATTTGTGTAACATATTTGAATAGGTGGGATATTTTTTTAATAGCTAACCTATCCAGAATGTAGCCCCAAACCGAATACGGCAAAATAATCCTATAGAGCTCTAAAAATGTACCAGTGGGCCGACACAAGATACAATATGGACTTTAGGGAGGGGGTTGGTGAGTGCAACATTAACCTAAGACATGTAGTAGATGGGACTTCTACACGCCTATTTCGTACAATTCATGTTATAATGTAGAGTTTATGAACCATAGTCCTCGTTCTTCATGTCATTTTTTTTTCTATTGTCTAATCACTCTCTATGCATGATAATCTTGAACAACATTAAGCATTTGAAAAGATGATAACCAAATGATTGGCTGCAATCCTAGATTCACCCGTACACAGACATGGAAAATGTCGTGCGGACTTCATTACGGAAGGTGGGTGGGGGAACCAATCACACTACGTAAACTGTATTATAACTTGTGATTTTTAGTGTGATTCTCTGAGAATTCCATGTATTCTTGAAATATGATTGATTTGGTGCAATGGATTTAGTCTATGGAGTACTTGCTCTTCGGATGGCATGAAATCAATGGCGTTTCGAACCTACTTAGTGAAATGAAAAACGAGATGAAGAGTATAATCCGATTGCATAATGTTAAAGCAAGTGAAGTTTGGTCGTTTTCTGGACATCCTCGATTCTTGCAAGAAACCTTTTTTGTTAAAATATATCTCGAGTTTGAGTCCAAAAAAAAGAAAATTTCCTAATTCAAGTAGGTTTCCTAGTTTGAATAGGTTTCCTAATTAGAAAAAGTTTCCTAAAAAGAGGTTTCCTATTTTGGATCATGCTCTTATCTATAAATAAGAGGTGTGACTTCTTATGAAAGGTATCAAAGAGGAGCTCCTACTAGGGAATTACACCCTGAAGATATTCGAGTGTGCTGTAATCCATTAAAATCTTGTGGTAAGAATTTGTGTATAATTCCTTTGTGAGATTGAGAGATTATTTCGTGAGGAATTGTGAGGCTAAACACTGCGTGAGCTATTGAGTGTAATTGGGGCTTAAGAAATACTTAAAGTATTTGAGTGACTCGAGTGTGGTTGTAATCTCCGTTGTATTGCTTGATCTACAGTGAAATTCGTTGCTGCTCTCCCCGTGGACGTAGGTCACTACGATCGAATCACGTAAATCTGGTGTTCGATTTATTTCCTTGTTCTGTCAATTTTATTGTTCGATCGTTTGGCTTTCGCAACAATTGGTATCAGAACTTTTGCCGCGCATTCGCAACACTTTGATTGATGTAACATGTTTGACATTTCCCTTCCTACGAATCGCTCTCGCAGGGCAATTATCATGCAAAAATAGCTGCCGAATTTGCTCTTCCCAAATCCTTTGACCTCACATCCTAGGTGCCAAAATAAATGTTGTGATCACTACACACCTTGACGAAATGGGAATAGAAGTAACTAATTCTCACTAAGAAAGAGTGATAAGATTTCCAAAGTAATTTTGATCAGGAAATCTAGAGGCGCTTTGACATGTGACTGATGGAGAATGTGAAGCTGATGTTCTAACATTTTCAGCAATTTCGTTTCACGGGGTAGAAAGATGGGCCGATCATGCCGCCATCTACTTTGATTTATTAGATTAGTTTGATCGAATGAATCGCGACTCTCAATCATTACGTGCTTTTGATAAGATTACATTAGGAAAAGAAATGGACGAATAAGCAATTCTTTTAGGGGAAGCCAGTCTTTCGATAGAATCAACGTCAATGGCTCTTACCAAGAATGGAAAAATGAAGGTGCCATAGCGTGTGTGTGTCGTGAGTTGTGATAGCTTTGGCCTTCTGTACACACGGTCAAGGCTTCCTCGGTTGCGCAAACGGAAGTCTTGGCTCTACTGGAAACCCTTGAACACTTTAGATCTCGGTCCGAAGCTAAAGTGGAGCCGCACTTGGATCGCTCTGACATGATAAAAAGTGTCTCCACTATAGATCGGTTTTCTCTAATCAAAGAAACCGAAGCCCAGATAAGACTTTTTCTTTACCTTAAAGTGGTCCATTGCAACCGAGAAGCAAATGAGGCGGTAAACTGGGTTGCCAAAGCCCATCATATGAAAGTCTTCCTTTTTATTGGATTTCATATCCCCCTCAAGCCCTCTGGGCTCTTTTATGTTTTGAAGCTGAACCTATGTTCGTTCGAACTCGTGTTTAATGAATGAAAGTTATTAATGATGATGATCGATTTTCTTCAAGTATGATCAAATGACCTAGGCGGCTTACATAGTAGATAGGCTTCTCATCATCGTAAAAAGGAAAAAGAAGACGGGATCGAACCACCTATCTGGTTGAGGAACCAACGGCGGGTTATATGCCCCGGGCACGTGCACAATGTCGAGAACAGTATCACCATTCCTAGAGAGGGTAAATACTTTGCCGTTAGTAAAAATTCAACGAGCATCTCGTATTTTAACTCCTTTTTTGCCATGCTTGCCAATCATATTCAAAACCACGGGCTTCACGGTTTTTTTTGCCAGCTCGTTTCTTTGAGCTCTCCCTTCCTCTGTTCCCGACACACCACCAAGCTCGAGCTCAACTCAGAGTCGGGAGCCCCGAGTGGGCGGCCGGATGGCTCCGATCCGCCAACAACGACCTCCGGACAAAATCGGAAGGGTGGCGTAGCGCCGGGCGCCCGTGCAATATCGTGAAATCCACGGGCTGGGCCGAGCCCAACCGGTCGAAGCCCAAAGGCCTCCGTGAACGGGCTGGGGCCCAAACCGGTCGGACATTTCGGGAGGCCGAACTCCGGGAGCCGCCTGAGGAAGAGGTCAAAAATACCAAATCGCTGACGGACGCCAAGCGACGCCTCAATTCCGATTTCTGCCAAATTCAATGCTTCGGTTTCAGTTCCGGCACAGAGAGAGAGAGAGAGAGAGAGAGAGAGGGAGGGAAGCCATTGTCGTCGCTGCTGATTTCTTGATAGATCCATAGAGACGCCGCAGTGGGTGCCCAATTGCTGACGGCATTCGCCTTTCCCCATTCTCCGGCGAATTCAAGCCTCGGAGCACCTCAAAGGCGGGGCCTTTTCCGCCTCCGCAATCGGCAGGCATCGCCGCCGCCGCCGCCGCCGCTTGATTCTGGGTTCCGAGGTACTCGTTCTCTCTCGCCCGCGCCTTGAATTCGCGTTGTGTCCCGGATTCGGAATTAGTGGGGATGAGAGAATTTTAGGAGGTGGGTTGTGTGGGCGGTTTTGTAGCTCTGGCCGTGCGGGAGATGGGGTTGTGAATCTTTTGGTTGCGTTCGGGTGGATATTCGATTTGTGTGCGCCGGAGCGTGGGGGGAATTGGTGATTTAGGGGTGGTGATATGAAGGGCCGGTCGCAGCGGTTGCAGAGCACGGACCCGCCCGACGACTGGGTGGACGGCTCCTGGACCGTGGATTGCATTTGCGGCGTGAATTTCGACGATGGAGAGGAGATGGTCAACTGCGACGAGTGCGGGGTGTGGGTGCATACTCGCTGTTCGCGGTACGTGAAAGGAGAGGAGTCGTTCGCTTGTGATAAGTGTAAGAGTAAGAATAGTAGGAATGATAGCGAGGAGACCGAGGTTGCTCAGCTGTTGGTTGAGCTGCCGACTAAGACTATGAGGATGGAGGCTTCATATGCAGCCAATGGGCCTGCGAGGCGGCCGTTTAGGCTTTGGACGGAGATGCCATTGGATGAGAAGGTACATGTGCAAGGGATTCCTGGTGGAGATCCGGGGCTATTTAGTGGGTTGTCGTCGGTTTTTACGCCGCAGCTGTGGAAGTGCACAGGATATGTGCCGAAGAAGTTCAATTTTCAGTATCGGGAGTTCCCTTGTTGGAATGAGCACAAGGAAGCTGATGCTAATGCCGAAGAGGACAATGAGAATGCTGTTGATAAGGGTGCTGGGGTTTTGTTCTCATTGTCAAAGGAGAATTTCATGGCTACTCCCGGGAAAGATTTAGTTGGCATGAAAAGCAGAGATCAGGAATGTAGGTACGATAGGAAGACGCACTTGAGAGAGACAAAGAAATGGGGGGCAGGTGATAATGCCGTGAATAAAGAAAGAACCTTACTTCGGCCTGTTGTGATACACGCCGGGAAGCGTAAGAAAGAAGAATCAGGCATATTAAAAGACGTAAGTGGAAAGAAGAAGGCTAGGACTGCTGAAAAAGATGTGGATCACAAGAAAAGAGTCCTGCATACTTCTAAAGCAGGTAACTTTTGTCCGCTTTTTATATTGTCGAATTGTCTCGTCTTTATTTGCTTAGGACGATATAATATATCCTTCTAGAAGCAAGAACATTTCTGTGGGTCACTTCTAGTTCTTCCACAGCTGACATGCGCTTGTTGACTTGATTTTCGTTCATCTTTATTACTAGTGTTTACACCTACCAGTGATGCAAAACAATTGGCATTTTGTGAAGAAAGAGGTCCGAAGTCTTTCAAGACTGACATTCGGAGTGTCAAGAACAGGGACTTGAGAGATGGTGTGCCTTTTGAACCTGTTTCAGATGGTCATGTTGCAGTCTGCAAGATTCTTGAAAATTTTAGGGCTAACTTGGCAACTTTGAAGCAACCTCTGGAAGGTGCCTCTGCTGAATTCTCCTGTCCTGCTGATGCTGTGTCGACTAAAGATGAGGCTGGGAATCACTTGCTTTCAGGGGTCAATAGTTCTTTAAAGATTGTTCCCTTAAGTGACCAGCATAACGTAGCTGACAGCTCTACTAAGTCGAAAGCGGTATGTACCTGCTTGTCCACCATACAAATTTTAAAACATGCCTCATTATAATGACTTTCTTCAGTAACATCTCAGACTAAGTTAACATGGAATTTGGCTCTAGGTCACTATTGGTCCCTGATGTTTCACCACTCAATTATGATTTACTGCCAGTAGGGCAATCGACTGTCAGCTTTTGCAATGATTCTTGGTTCTTCTAAGCCAAAAATAATTGCTAGTAATCCTTCTTCTTGTGTTTGGCATTGGTATTATTTTAATTTACCTTGATGAATCAGGGTCCAGTAGTAGAGATTGCTTTAGAAATTTGTGATACTGAAGTAATGTAGAATTGAGCTATTATTGAGCGAGATTTTTTTTTGGTGAATTAAGTCATAGTGTTTGAACTGCAGGTTGTAAGAATTTTCTAGAGGTTTAGCTGTTTAGGACACGAATGATAGATGATCCGTGAGAGGGAAGATGTTGAATTTCCTATAGAACCATGGATCAATGTATGTTGCCAGAGTCATAGGGAAATCCAATTCAGCTTGAAGGCCTATCTGCTGAAGAAAGTAATCATGTAATCCGTTTTTGACATTTTTTAGATAGTTGATGTCAAATTTGCTGATCGTGGGACTGGCAAGCTATATATTGCCATGTTGGTGGTGAAGATGATGATAGTAGTTGAATAGGGACATGAGTTGGAATTGCGCCTGCTTCATTTGTGACTGCTCATGTTGTAAGCCCCAAGTAGATGAACAACTGAAGCTCTCTTGGGCAGAAATTTGCCCAATGAAGAACGTTTGGCAGATATTGGAACTGTGATTGCAGTTGCAATTTTGATAAAATTAATCTTGTGAATTATATGAAATTAGGCATTTAAAGACATTACCATTGCAAGAGCCTTCTAGTGAAAGCCTTCCCTAAAAAATTTAACCAATCAATTAAGAGGGTTACATTTTTTATAGTGTTAAATTGGCTGCATGATATTTGTGCTCATAGTGATTTCCTTTTACCCCTAAAAAACTTAACAATGTAAAATTGTTAAGGGCATCTGGAGTCCAGGAATATGGGTGCATTCATAGATGTACTCTTCTTGACTCGATTATTTGGTCTCATTTTTCCTTACGCTGATAATAGGAAGAGAGTGGGATAATAAATAATCCGGATGCTAGCTCCACTGGAAAGGTTTTGGTGCATCCAGGGGAAGATGTAGCTCAAGCAGCTCCAGAAACAAAAAATAAACAAAGTCCATCAGATATCGACAGCAACAGATCCATGGGTTTTTCTTGCAATGTGAAAAAAGAAGCAGATGATGATACTTGTAAGGGGTTGTTGCAAATTCAGTCTTCTCCTCTTGCTGACAAGAACTCTGTGTCATTGCCATCTGATGATGCTAGATACCCTGGAGTATCTAATACCCAGACATCTGAAAATTTCAAAGCAAATGACGTGGAGGTTAACAGTTCACAATGCACTGACAAAAAATCATTAGGCACTGCCCGTGATGCAGAAGCAGTCTGTGAGAGTCGTGTCCACACTGGTCAGGAGCTATCTGGTGATGTATGTGAGCCCAAACAGGAAGCAATAGCATCTGAGGATTCTATTGAAAGGCAGAAAAGCTCTGCAGAATCTAAAGCTGCTTTGGTGTCTCCTGAAGAGCCATCAAAATCTAGTGGAACTGAATTACCTATAGCGCCATCTGCACAGAAAGTAGTGGTCTCTGTTGGCGAAGCATCTTCCACACCATCTTCTCTGCCTATCCAGAAATCATCCAGCTCAGACAAGTCGAAACCTTTAGATGCTCAGAATCTGAATCCAATCGTGAAGCAACGAACAGCAGGGGAGTCTGATCCTATTGCCAAGAAAGAGCAGGCTTCAGCTGATGTTTTAACTGAGAAGAGTGGGCATGACCCGGTGTGGAAGACAGCAAAATTCTGTTCGACATCATCCTCAGGTGCTTCTTTGAAAGCTTCACATTCAAGCAAGGTTTTCCAAGCTTCTGGCTCTAAGCGGACTGCCTCAGATTCAAAAGATCATACCTTCCCCTCTTTAAAATCATCTTCTTCCCATAATGTAGCAGTTTCTTCAGGGTCTGGTGAATCTCCGGGCACTTTGCAAAATCACTCTACTGCCCTTTCACAAAATAAGGCTATAGGATCGGGATTACCACAGAAAAGTGGAAAGTCCAGCCATACAAATTTTCCTCCATCTTCTAAGGTGAATCATAGCACACAAGGGCAAGCACCTCTGGTTCCTAATTCTTCCACACTGAGCGATGAAGAGGTATGTGTGCTGTTCCCTGATTTTTTTTTTTTTCTCTTTTTTAACGCAAGTTGATCTTGGCAAGTGATTTACTCAATCTCGTCAACTTCTTTCGCAGCTTGCTCTACTTTTGCATCATGAACTCAATAGTTCTCCTAGAGTGCCTAGAGTACCACGAGTACGCCATGCTGGCAGTTTCCCTCAACTAGCTTCTCAAGCTGCTACTAGTATACTGATAAAGCGAACATCTAGTTCTGGCGCAAAAGATCACAATTTGGTATGGCTTGATGATTCTGCTTCAAAGTTCTGCTTCATTGGTTTTCTTTATTTAAATCCCGCTTACATGAGTATCTGATTTTAAGGTCTTTAGTGAGCTTCATCTAAACTTCCAAATTTTGGAAAATAATATTCTGTATAGGTTCCTCGAAGAAAAGGCAAGGATGGATCCAAAGATGTATTGCGCAGTTCTTGTGAGCATGATGATGAAGGTAAAAGGACTGACAGAGTGGCATCTCCTGATCAAGGGAGACGAGAAACAGTGCACAAAGGAGATGCGTCCAAGAGGGAAGTGAATGGATCTCTGCATCCCTTTAAGAAGAATGTTCCTGCTTTGACCACAAGTACAAGCAGCGGTCCTTCTTCTTCCAATGAGGCCAATGATAATAAGGTGTCATCCATACATAATACTCCGATAAATAACTCAGATGATGATACAGGCGCGGTAGGAGGCCTGGCTCATCGGACTTTACCAGGTAGGAACTTCTAAGAAATATTCTTTGGTGTTATCGTTGCAGGACTTGATCATATCAAGCTCTATTTAGTTATTCTTTTTATTTCTTCGTACTTCTTCTAACTTGCGCTTGATTTCTGCATAATTTGCAGGATTAATAAATGAGATCATGAGCAAAGGCAGGCGAATGACCTATGAGGAGCTTTGTAATGCAGTATTACCGGTACTTTTATTTTACAAAAAATGTTGTTTATTGATGACTGCTGTCGTTTATTTATTCTCAATGTCCTTGTCATCTCCTCTTTCAGCACTGGCATAACTTGAGGAAGCATAATGGAGAGCGTTATGCATATTCGAGTCATTCACAGGCTGTTCTTGATTGCTTAAGAAACCGGCAAGAGTGGGCTCAGTTGATTGACCGGGGTCCAAAGGTATGGAAAATAAATTTTTACTTACATTCTGCTGTTGTCCTGTCTGTCGACTCCGTTTGGCAGCTTGAAAAGATTTTGTTCCATTAGTCAAATTAGAGCATACGGGGTTAATATCGTCGATCTTTTGGTACCACTTTGATTATACCACGAAGTATTTTCTTTTAATAATCTTTAAAAGCTTTTGTTTCTCTCCCAATTTGTTATCTTAGATGTTCAAAAAGGCTTATCCAGTGTCAATTAAACTCATCAAACCACTGTGAGGTTGACTAGAGAGAATCAGTGCGGAGACTGCTGATTTCAACTTGGGCTCTAGATGCTAAATATATGCCTATACACATTGCTTAAAGGCCTTATTGATGTGTTGCAGACCAGCATAAGCAGGAAAAGGAGGAAAATTGATGCTGAAGAATCAGAGGATAACGAAGATGGAGCCCACAGCACTAAGAAGGAAGTAGAAAGCAGAAGTCTTGAGTCCCAACGGGAAGAGTTCCCTAAGGGCAAGCGAAATGCAAGAAAACGCAGACGTCTAGCTCTCCAGGGGAGAGGAGTGAAGGATTTGAGAAACCGACGGAAGGCGGGAGTGGTAATCGAGGATGACGATGATGATGAGGAGACGCTGTCTAATTCAAGTGAGGATAGCATTTTCAGCGAGGATGAGATTCAGGGAGGTGGAAGAGGGCCGGTTGGAAGTGATGCCTCTAGTAGCTCGGACGAGATTCAAAACATGTAAACTACGATTGTTCTCTGTGGTTATTTGGGACCTCAGCCTCCCTCTGGATTGTATGTGCAGCTATCTTTGGTTTCATCCAGTTCTATCAGATTCTTGCTTTACTATTCGGACAGTAGAATGCAAAGTAGACAACATTAGTTGCATGATGTCTCTGAGTTAGATGTAACCTATGTATATCTTACAGGAGATTCAACTTTCCCCGTCAGGTAGATGCTAGTTTGAGGTCTGGATTGAAAATTTGTATGGCCATTGTACATATAGTCGTATTTTTTTTTTTCCTGTTTTAGTAGAACATTTCGTCTATTTCTGCTGATGGGTATTCTGGTGGGGTCATGCCAGCTGAGGAATCACTTTTTCGGCCTTGTGGGAGAAGGTGACTTTAAGAACGACTGGCTGAGCAAGAAGACATGTTAGGATGGTTTTCTGGAAACTTCATCTTCGACTTGATGTTATCTTGTACGGTGTACGGACTGCAGTAATTCCTGTGATTGTTGTTTTTGGTGTATGTTATTCGTCTCTTGTTCCTGAGGGGAATGTATTTCACTTTGCTTCTCAAATCTTGGAGCCATGTTCCTGCGGTTTACTATGACCAGAGACACGTCTTTCCATCTGATGATTAGCCGTGTCTATTCGAAGGAAATTGTTATCAGTCGCCCCATACGTGGCCGTCGACCGACGAGCACCACGATAAGAAAAAGGTAGATGGTTTCTGAGAAGAGGAGCTTTTCGGGAGTTGACCGCGACTTTCTACTGGCGGTGTTTTCGTTTTGAATATCGACTCAACATACTCGGCAACGCTTAGCGAGACATCGAGGATTGTTCTGAAATACCGAAGGCAGAGCAGATTTGTTAGGATACAAAACGTCCTATCTCTTCAAATCCCCGGTATAACTAGTATCCTGTAATGAATCTTTAGCAGTCAAATGTTCCACGCCAAATCATACTTTGCCTCTGTCCACCTGCATTTAGCATTCAAACGAGCCTCTTTGCATATGATTGATGCTTGCGGAAGGAAGCCATCGTCTGTTCTTATATTCTTTTTCTCTTGGCTGAGAAGAGACAACCACGTCGCCTGTGTTCTTGTCACCCAAACCCAAGGACGAACTTTTGGCTGCATACTGTGGAGTTGTTTCAGAAGAAGTTTAAAGAGAGTATCAGTTTGATCTTGGCATAACCGATCTTCTCGTCTCTTCATTTTTACCGGAAGCGAAAAGTCCAGAAAATGACCAATAGGTGCTCTGAACACTTTTGTGGGTAAAGTTCTATCATTTGAAAGCTCTAAATCTCGCAAGATCAAATATTTGATCCAATAGGTGCAAAATTTTTTAAAATTGAAAGCTTTTCCATAAGAATGATAATAATATATAAATGATACACACTAATTGCCAAACTTCCCACATAATTATACGTCGAAACCTTCTTATACGTATATTATATATAAAACTTTCAAACTTTTGTGTTCTGTATTGTCATAATTAATTTTATCCATGTCTCCGTGTTTCTGACCAAAAAAAAAAAAAAAATTCTCCGTGCTTTATTTTTGTAAAAATGAACCAAACGCCATTTGCATTTGCCCAATAGACTTTATAGCCCCCAAGCACATTCCAAATGCCGAATCAAACGGAGCTTTTGTTATGCAAAGTCAAAGGGACTAGATCGAACGAACCGAAAATTTGGGGACTAGATAATAATTCAGAGGCCCGCGATGACTTTCTCTCTTGTTCGATCAAATAAGAAGGACTGCATCGAACATTCAAGAACAGTTCAACGATCATATATAACAAGTTAAAAATCCAACGATGAAATTGTGCATTGAGACAAAGTTCAGAGACTATCAGTGTCGTTTCTTCACGAGAAAGATATATCAATTTCTGTCGGGTAATTTCTTGCATTTCTCGCTTCTCCTTTTTATTGGGTTCCGGGTTGAACTTGGCGTCTGGACAAGTGCGGAAGCTAGTTACAAGCACTTGGTAGGGGTACCGCGTTTCGATTTGGATTTCGGTTATTATTAATTTTTCTAATTTTCCTCGTTTCTAAAAATCTCTGGTTTTATGTCTTTGGCGAATACGAAGAGAAAAACATGTTTTTTTCACGAATGGTTTTTCCCGGGTCAAAATTTGTTTTTTTTCCGACTTGAGCTCGAAGAAACGAAATACATTTTTATGTAGAGTAGAGGAGGGCTATAAAAAGGAAAGGGGGGAGCGCAGCGCAGCACGGCACACGAGCGAAAGTCCCGAAGAAAGAAAAAGTAAAAGCAAAAAGATTTCAGAAGAATTCAGGAGCACGACGGCGACGAAGACGACTGCGGCGGCGATCGTCGAAAAGGAAGGTGCGATCTCTCTCTCTCTCTCTCTCTCTCTCTCTCTCTCTGTGCCGGATCGTTGTTGCTTCCTCCTTCGGCCCTAGGGTTCCTTGCTCCGCCGCTTCCTCCGATTCGCGATTCGATCTCGTCGACAATCCGCCTCGCCGTGATCCGCGCCTCCCTCTCGATCCATTGCATCCCCTCATCGCTCCCGCGCGTCCTCGATCGGGCCGGGTATCGTAGCTGATTCGAGCGAGTTTCGTGTTTTTTTTTTTTTTTTTTTTTGTGTAGGTTGGTGGTGGGGGTGGTGGTGGTAGGTGTGTCGCGGATTATGACGATTCCCGATACCGGCCTCATGATGATGGACAATGGGGCGAGCTGCTTGCCGGTCCCTCCGGACGAGGAGAGGCGCGTCGTCGAGGAGCTAACCGGCAAAGCGGAGGCCAATCTGAAAGAAGGCAACGTTTACTTCGTCGTTTCTAATAGGTATTAATGCTTGCTTGCTGCCATTGTCCGTACTGGGTTGTTTAGTTTCTGGTGCCGCTCCTCTCGAAATCTCTGTTCTTATTATGCTTCGTATCGCGACAATTATAGCAAGTGGTTTGGTAATCGGTCCTTTGGTGTTGGGTGTTTTGCACAAGCAATACCAGGGAAGTTGATTGTGAAGTGATGGTTTTTAATGAAATAGTAGATTGCCTGATGTGGAACTTTTTCACACGGAACCTTAGGTTTCCTTATTGGGTTTTTTATTTGCTTACTAGATACTGTCCGACTCTAGTCGAAGATAGTTCGTCGCACTGCTGTGGTGGTTCTCTTGAAACCAAGACACCCAGTTTTGTCTTGGGGACTTTTTGTTGCCTGTCTTCTTGTTGAAGTTCCGTAATCCCAAGGAGAAGGTGAACACGATCTTGTGGATGGGTTCCCTATTTTGTCAGCAGTTAATTCCTATGTTTTAATCCATTAAGGTAGTTTGTGGCACGTGTGGATGAGCATGCGTTTCTCCTTCTAACAGACCCTTTCCATTGTGCTATGCAAGCAGTTGCATCATCATGCAAAATTGTGCGATTGATAGTGTGGATGTGGAATTGCCTTTTTATATGCAGATGATCCATGAGTTTTTTTTCTTCTTATTTTCTTTTTTGTAGGTGGTATTGTTGTTGGCAGAAGTATGTCAGACAAAATAGTGACCGGTACTTGGCAGATGAGCCGTCTTTGGATTCTCAGAGATTGAAAGTGGTTTCATCAGAAATGGCTGAGAGACCTGGGCCTATTGATAATTCTGACATAATTTCTGATGAGCATTGCGAGGGTGATCAATTAGAGCTTCGTAGAATGCTGGAAGAGGGGAGGGACTACGTTTTGGTTCCTCAACAAGTTTGGGAAAAGCTTTTTGGTTGGTAATGACCTTGTCATCTAAACAATCTTACGTGAGATATAGGTTCCGTTTGCTACATCGTTGTGCGTTATTTTCTACTTTGAATGTTGTTGGAGATGTTATTGGAGATCTTATGACATAAGATGGAGGTTATGTAGAAATATTGTTGGAGAGTACATGATTATTAGATTATTATTGAAAATTGATGGAATTTCTATTCATTCTGATAAATTGTTTGTGCTAAACCTTCTGTTAAGGGATCTAATGGCATTATTCTCTTTGGACGTATGCATGTCATTAACTTTGTCCTTTGAGTGGATCAGTTAAAGAATGAATTTCGGATGTACAATGTGAAGTAGAAGTATCTCTGAAGATACACGTGATATGTTCACTAGACTGAAGTGGTGTTTTAATATAATTATCTTGAAGAAGCCTTTTTTGTAAGAATAGCAAAGTCTCTTTTGGATTGGTAGAGTCAGTTTCACGGACTTTGTCTGCGTGGTCGAGCAATTCTCTCCTTGTCTGTCTCTAAATAAAGCTGGTTGGTGTTGGCTAAAAAGAAAACAATAAAAAAAATGGCGCTGGTCGGTGTCTCATATGAACCTGAAAAGGCATGAGTACACCAACCAGTTCACTGAAAATCTAGTTTCAATAGGCTGCCACTATTTGGCCCTCCCTAGACCATTTGTTCTGCCGTTAAAACTTAGTTGCCCTCTAGGTGGATCTTGTATTAATAATTTCTTCAGATAGATACACAACTTATTCCGAGTTTATCTTCCTTGTCTTAGCATTGATTTACAACCTTGCAAAGTTTAGTCTATTATTCACCTTTTTTGCCCGTTTTTCGTTTTGTCCTAACATGCTTTGAAATTCACGTGGCTATAGCATACCAAAATCAAGGATCTCTCTTTTTCTTATCTCTATTTTAATGGCACGAAACTATATATCTCGTTTTCTGTTGAATTATTGTTCAAGTAAGCCTTGAACTTGTTGCAAATAAACGAATTCTGGTTCTATGTCTGTGAGCTACGAATCCTCATTTAATTGTCTAATCTTCCAAACATGATTTGTCGTTTTCATAGGCGTTTCACCTTGAAACGAGTATTCGTACTAGGTATCTAAAAAGAGAAAACAGAAAGACGCAACAAATAGATATGAATAACAAAATAGTGGGTTTCTACTATTCTGTTGATTTCCATATGTGGATTTCCTATTTAATGTGATGGTTCTGTCAGTGACCCCTGTTCGATGATCATCTTTGTTTGTTTGAAAGCATCTGTGGCTCTTTCTAGCTTTATTCTCAGTCCTTGTACTCCTTCTGTACATGCTTGCCTCGAAGAATATATTCTTAAATCTTGTCCTTTAAAATGTTTGAGGGGCACGGTTACTTTTTAAATTGGTGTTGTGGTGGATGTACATATTCTAAGGATACATTCAACTGTTAATCCACTGCCGGCAACTTCTCACGTTTTTCTCTTCTATCTTTTAGGTATAAAGGAGGGCCAGCTTTACCAAGAAAGATGATTTCGCAAGGTTATCATAACAAGAGTTATAGTGTGGAGGTTTATTTGCTTTGTCTAAAGTTGATTGATTCAAGAGATAACAGCCAATCGATTATAAGAATAAGCAGAAAGGTATTGCTTAACATACTTCTTTGGTGTGAGATCTTATTTGCTTAGGGAAGTTATTTTTCCCCATTCGTTTTGACCTTCCTTAAGAATGAAAATTAGTTAGACGTGCAGGGTCTAATTGGTTTTCTGTGTTTCAGGCTTCTACACATGACCTATATGAGAAGGTGTGCATACTCAGAAAAGTGGATGTGGCGAAGGTATATAGTTGTTGTCTCTCTCTCTCTCTGTCTCTCTCTCTCTCTCTCGCACCCGCGCGCATACAGTTTTATATGGTTGTATCTCAAGCATCTCAAATTCTCAATATCTGTCTTTTGCCATCCTATCACTTGTTAATTAAGTCTCTACATGCTCTTTGATTTTTGTGTAATTAAAGGTTGCTTAATTGCTGTTTTCCAATTTCTCGTTTCACGTGAAATGGCAGGTTAATATTTGGGACTACTTTAATAAGCAGAAGACTCTATTGTTAGACCGCCCAAACAAGACCCTGGAGGAAGAAAGTTTGCAGATGGACCAAGATGTGAGTACTTGAGCAATTTGGCTTTGTCTTGTTGATACCAATGCTTATTTTAATTATCTATAGTCAAGAATGGTGTTATATGGACTTATTGGCGATAACAACTGTTATTTGGTCCCAAGAAATGCGTGGCTGAAACTTTAAGTTAAATGTGAAACAGTGAAACTGATCTATATTTCCTCTTGAGCCAAATCTTCACCATTGTGCGACTAATTATATGTTATCTACATTGTAAACATTTGAGCTCTAATTAAAAATTGTAATTCATCTTTAGTAGAACATTTCTCCTTCCTTAATATTTGCGAGCTAATTGACTTTGTTATTCATATTTGAAATCTCAAGATTTGAGATTTGTCACTTCAGACTCTTATCTTCAATGGTCTTTGGGTTTTATATTATCGGATGATATGTTTGAGGATACAATTTAAAAGAGAGAATTTGCATTTTGTACCCTTTGTAGTTTCCTGCTGATGATAAAGATATGTTTCGTAATATTTGTGTGCTCTTTTAGGGAATGGAATTGAAGGGTTTTTCCCTGTTCAGCCTGTTATAAATTTATTGTCAATAGGCAATTATGCTTCTATTTTTTGCAGATTCTCCTAGAGGTGCAAGTTGATGGAGTTCCTCATTCTGGAAATGGCATGGATTCAACCCGAAATGATTTGGCTTTGGTAGTGCTTGAGCCTTCTAGGTCATCTATGACCATCGCAGGGGGGCCAACCATGTCGAATGGTCATTCATCAGGGTATAATTTTTATCAGAGAAGTGGATTGAGTTCATCAAGCTCTCGTACAGAGGATGGGTATGATGTATTTAATTCTGCCAATAAAGGAGAAAGGGGAGGTTTGGCGGGTTTGCAGAATCTGGGAAACACATGCTTCATGAACAGTGCCATCCAATGTTTAGTCCATACTACCCCTATTGTTGAGTATTTCCTGCAAGACTATACAGAGGATATCAACATGGAAAATCCACTGGGAATGCGCGTGGGTCTCTGTACTTATTTTAACTGACATTTTTCCGTGATTGTCTCAGAATGTGCTATCCTATTACACCAAAACTCTGACGTAAGTTATGTCTGTAGGGGGAGCTTGCCCTTGCATTTGGTGAGTTGTTGCGAAAATTGTGGTCATCAGGGAGGACTACAATTGCCCCACGTGCTTTCAAGGCAAAACTTGCTAGATTTGCTCCTCAGTTTAGCGGTTATAACCAGCATGATTCTCAGGTGAGTAATGTGTAATGTACTTCTGATTACCCCTCTCTCTCATGCTTTTTGTTATTATTAGATTTTTATTATATCCTTGCTCTATAGGAACTTCTTGCATTCTTATTGGATGGGCTCCACGAGGACTTGAATCGTGTGAAGAAAAAGCCTTACATTGAGGCAAAGGATTCGGATGGCCGCCCAGACCGGGAAGTTGCTGGTGAATCATGGAGATATCATAAGGCCAGGAACGATTCAATAATTGTTGATGTTTGCCAGGTAAAGAGTGTTTTATAGGTGCAATTGTATGCTTTCTCCAATGAATGTCTAATATAGTTATTTAGTGCTCGTATAGGTTATTTTATGGTTCTGTAGGTCTATGATAGGTGGCATTCAAATGGTTGAGTTCAGTGTCTTCTGGCATGTTGATAACGTTCCTGATGGCATTATTATTAGTAGTGGCTTTCGTGATTGCGCGTGCTAACACAAAATAGGAGTAATTTTTGTGTTCAAGCTAGGGAGTTTGTAGGGTAATTAAGGTAACAGTTGAGGGCATTCCGACAATTTTTGAACAGTTGTGTGTATTTTACTTTGCTTCTTGCCACTCTACCAGGACTGGTAGTTACTAGATCTGTGCCCAAGAATGGTAGTTTGTTTCTAGAACTTGCATCTGCTCAAATTTATAGGAACTTCCATGCTTTGCAGTCTCTGCTGTCATGAATCAAAATGCATCTATGTTCAATTAATTTATCTTTCTTGTTGACCTCTTCAAAGGTAGATTGAAGTTTGATCTTTCTTGTACCTTCTGTTGCTTGCTTCCTCAGTACATTGACTTAATACCCTTGTATTTGTGGATTCGTTATTTATTTGTGGAATGACCTTGAATTTTCTTTCGGAGTCTAGCTTGGTCATTTCGCTTTTATTGCTGCTCACTGTGTATTTGTGTGGTGAAATTGTCAGGGTCAATATAAATCAACGTTGGTGTGCCCTGTATGTGGCAAGATTTCAATAACATTTGACCCCTTTATGTACCTAACACTGCCACTACCTTCAAGTGTTACCCGGACAATGACAGTGACTGTGTTTTATGGTGATGGAAGTGGTCTGCTGACGCCATTTACTGTTACCGTGCTTAAACATGGTTGTTGTAAAGATCTTACCCAGACATTGGGAGCTGCATGCTGCCTTAGGGCTGATGAATGTCTTCTGCTTGCTGAGGTAAACTGATCCTCTTTCAGTGTAGCCTCATTCATTAATAAGGAGTCGGTGTATATCCATGGATGTGTGGTGGGTGAATCTATGTATCCATGGATGTGTGCATGTGTTTCTAAATTTTGTTCTGGGCATAATTCTTCAGACTTGTTCATTGGTTAAAGTGTTGCATTTTCAATTTCAGGTTTATGAACACAGGATTTACCGATATCTGGACAACTCATTGGATTTATCATCAATTAAGGATGAAGATTACATTGTGGCGTACAGACTTCCTAAAGTAGGGGCAGGGAGAACAAAAGTTGAAATTACTCATCGCTGGCTTGAAAGGTGAGGCTTTCTCATTCTTACTCAGTGCATTGGCGCTATGGAACATTACTTTCTAGTGAATTCTGCAATTATGCCTGTATGACATTCTAGAGTGGCCACATGCATGGTCAATGTGCTTGGTGGTCCTCAAACTTAAATTTTTGTGCTATGTGACCCTTAAAATTACTAAATTGTTTTAATTTGGTCAGTTACAATTCTTTTGGAAATTCCAACGCATACTTCGGAAACCACCGGACCTAGTTCCTATGCCGCGTAAACATTCTATTGCATGTCTGTCTCTGCATCTCAAACAATGAAATTAACGGGGACTAGGAAAAAACTGTCATGTTTGAAGACTGCATTGTGATTAAATTGAGTGTCATGTCGGAGAAAAAAAAAGCAAAGCCATTTGAGGGGCCAAATTTATACTTATTCATTCTTTTCTGATAGGTTTTCATACCGTGTTAAGTTTATCTGTTTTTGCTTGACGGTATCAAAATACTCTTTAGGTGCCTGAATTAGGCCCGTCCAAATCAGGTTTAGGTGTATTAGCTAGCATAGACTTGAGCAGTATGCTGTCAACTTTTTGATTGAGAATGATTTATGGCACTGCGGAGTTGCTTTTTGTTCCTAATAACATTTAGTGTTAACGATAAAATCTAGGGTTAATATCACGAAAAACCCTAAACTGGTACACATGTGACACATTTATCCCAAACTAATATTTTGACCACCAAAAACCCCAAACTGGTACACTTGTGATAAATTTACCCCAAACTAATTTTTTGACCACAAAAAACCGTAATCTGGTACATTTGTGACAAATTTACCTTCCGTTAAATCAGATTAATATCACGAAAAACCACAAAATGGTAAATTTGTGACAAACAGAGGGGTAAAACCCTAAACTAGTACACCCGTCAACTGGCACGTGTCATTCAACTCAGTAATTTGATGATAAAATTTAAAGGAAACTAACGAAGGTAAATTTGTCACAGGTGTACCAGTTTAGGGTTTTTGGTGGTCAAAAAATTAGTTTCGGGGTAAATTTGTCAAAAGTGTACCAGTTTGGGGTTTTTGGTGGTGTTAATCCTAAAATCTATTAAGCAGTAGTTTTAGGTGGTCTTTTAAATCCTATTAGAGGATTTTCTTTCATGATTGTGTCCTTAAGTTTCCTGAACCAGATTTAGTGCCGCCGTATGTGGTGAGTTCTCTGCCTCTTGGCGTTTTGCATGTTTTCCAGTCAGTGCTATTCATATGCTATATTCAATTTTCTTTTTGTTTTTTTATTAAATTGCTAATTGGTGGTGGATTCCTTCCATAGGGTTGGGCCAGACACCTTCAAGGGCCATGAGAGGAAGTTCTCTGGAACGCCTCTGGTTATGTATTTAGCAAAGGACTCATTATGCGGAGAGGATATACTTGGAGCTGTTGGCAAAGTGTTGTCACCTTTGAGAAGAGTATATTCTCCTTCTAAAAGTAGTTCTGAAAAGGCAAGTAGCTTTGTTTCAAAAGATGGAGAGGAATCATCTAGTAGCAGCAATGGCCAGTCTGGGCCAGGTAACGACGAAATGGAAGGCGTAGAGGATGATTCATCAGGTGAGCTACCATTGTTCCAGCTTTCTTTGGTTGATGATAGAGGTGCAAATCACAAACCCATACATAGGGATACTGTAATATCTGGTCAAACTGTGAAGATTGTGCTGGATTGGACTGAGAGGGAGCTTGAACAATACGATGCAAGCTACCTCATGGATTTACCTGAGGTTCACAAGAGCGGGTTCACAGTAAAGAAGACCCGGCAGGAAGCTATTTCTCTCTTTTCATGCTTAGATGCATTCTTGAAGGAAGAACCACTTGGTCCTGATGACATGTGGTATGTATCTGGAACTACTTTATGAGGTTTTGACAATGTATTTACTGTTCTGCATTGCCAACTAGTCTCCTGTGAAGGTCTAGGCTGATGTGGCATCTTAAAATTTTCTGTGTAGGTACTGCCCTGGTTGCAAAGAACATAGACAAGCCACTAAGAAACTAGATTTGTGGAAGTTGCCAGACATTCTTGTAGTTCACTTGAAAAGATTCTCATACAGCAGATACCTGAAAAACAAACTCGACACATTTGTGAATTTTCCCACTCACAATCTCGATTTAACCAAATATGTGAAAAGCATTGATGGGCAATCATATGTGTACGAACTCTATGCAATCAGCAACCATTACGGTGGATTAGGTGGTGGGCACTATACTGCGTATGCCAAGGTAAGCTATGTACTTAGGTTTTAAATGTCATGCACTTTGACCCGATTGAATCCGACAGTTCTTTTATTCTATCTATCATATGGTGTGGTCCAGAGCTATTTTTTTTTTCCTTTTAATATCGCTCGAATATATCTTTTTAAACTTAAAACAATGTGTCAGCTTTGGAAATGCACCAGAGTTGTTTTTATTGTGTCTCCCTGTTAGCATCATTTTCTCAAATCTCAAAAGGCTATCCAATTTTCTGGCTTCATTATCACGTTGATCATGTCTCTTTTCAAGTGAAACTGGGCGTACTGATATTATTGGTCAAATTGCACAGCTGATCGATGAGAACAGATGGTACCACTTCGATGATAGCCATGTTTCTCCAGTTGGTGAAGCTGATGTAAGGACTTCAGCCGCTTATTTGTTGTTCTACCAGAGAGTAAAGACAGACTCGGGAGTCAGAGTGGGAGAGACATCGCAGAGTCATATGAGCTCTTGAATGCTCAATTACAGAAATTATGTTGTTCGTCATTGTGCGGTTCCGAGGATTTGCTAGTTCCATTGACAAGCTGGTTTCCTCCTAGTAATGTGTTTTTTCAGCACAGCTGCAAGCACCTGGGCTGGAAAGGACCTGGAAAGAAGCAGGACTGGGAATTTAATTTTTTGGTGGGGGCGATGAGAAAGGTGGAGCAATGGAGATGGACAGTCTTTGCAGATTCAGAGATGTTGCGAAACGTGGTCGATAGTAGCCGGTGGTAGCCAGGGGATTTTTTGGACATATTACTTGGCTACTATTCATGTTTATTTTGAAGAGGGATTTCAGTTCATAGTCTTAAAGAGGTTCATTTCATTGTGCCGATGGATTGTGCCTGTATTTATGGGCATTGTCCTGGCCAATCTTCTTAAGACTTACTGTCCAAATTGCGCGGCAAATTGTAATTGTCATCTATATCTCCCATCTCTATATAACCTTCTATAAAAAGTGGTTCAGTTGGGCTTCGTACTCCGATTCATATAACGTAGTTCAATTCGAAAGTATTCATTATATATCCCACGAAATGATTCAAGGGCAAAACTCCAACATCAAGAGTAACTTTCGGAAAATGAGAATAATTGATTTCGGAGCAAGGTATCCGATGTAGCTTGTCTTCTTCTTCTTCTTCTTTATTTTTTAAGATAACTGGGATTTTACGACCGTTTAATTAGGTGAATAGAGTAATGTTAAATCACCGAAAGCGTCTCTGCTTTGGTCTCGCTTTCATTGCGTGTGCATGGATCTTTGTCGTTCGGCTCTTTTTTCTCCTTAAAATCACCCCCCACATCGCTTTCACTTTCATTGAGGAATTGCCCTCCAACATTGGAAATATTTACAAATTTTTGGCCCTCAAAAGCTGACTTTCTTTCGTCTCTTATGCCCCCTCTTAGTCTAAATTCGGTTAATAGACATGACAAACGCAGCTCCAAATGCTTTTGATGACCAATCACAATCATCGCCTAAGATTTGTGCACTCGCTAATGATTTCCTATTTATATAATACGAGGCTATATTCTGATTGCATCACCATCGATTATTGCAATTTTGTCGACTGGCCAACAGGTCCAAATCAATTATATCTGAAGACAGCTAGGTTTGGATAATTTCATAATTATCGATGCTGCAAATATGTTCATCTAGCTGGGTGTAATGTTTGTAAATGTAAACCATCAGCTCCAAAATTCCTAATGGTCCATACCACCATGACCCGACGGGACATTTTCTATGGCACGTGAACCATATTTGTGGTACCCACTTTATCATTGTAGCAAATGAATGCCACATTGAAAATTTGTACATACATGATATCCCGAATGAGAAACAAGTGTTCTCATTTATGATGACAAGGAGTTATAAATCCTATCCTTAGTAAAGCCCAGCATTTTTTTTTTCCATTTAGCGATAAGTTGGTGTCTAGATCAGTGTTCACACACCTTGACTGGTCTACCTCTCAAGTCGATCATAAGGTTCAAATATATTTAGTATCGCTAAATAAGACGCATTCATATCATACACCATTGTAACTTGGCACTTTAATATGCTTTGTTCAATCCAACCGATAAGTGTTGCTGCAATTAATTGCTAATGGGTAGAAAAGAAAATCTCCTAGGAAGTGTCTTTGGACGTCTTCTTGAATACTGTCTTCCAATTATGCCAAAAATGAAGAGAAAATGGTCAAAATCGAACTCCTCAAAATTGCAGGGATTAAAAGTGCACTTTAACAATATTTTAGTTTTAGTTTTGACGGCTTGACAAAAGAGGCAATTTGAGCTATGATTATTTTTATTTTTATTTTGTAAAATTAGAAACACCTATTTACTTATGGAAAATGTCAAACAATGCCCTTTGGGCACTAGTTAAATCTAATTAAACGTGTATAGAAAAATTTTAAATTTACTATCCGACAAATAAGTAATTCTTCAATTCTCAAAATGCCTTTGGAAATTGTTATTTACACTTTGACTTAACTTAATTATGGGGTCGATGTTCGAGTAAACACCGGCCCTTCATTAAGTTCAATTGGGTGTAAACTAATCATAATATTTTTATTCGGAATAACGATCAAAACTCTTGTCATGTGTGTACGTGACATTTCTCAATCGGATCCAAATAAGAAAGTGCGACCACGTGAGGCATGTCGGGGAAAAAGATGGGCTTGGTGGGCCCCACGTGCGTTACGCACCAATCAAAAATTGATCGTCGATCGTGGCGATTGCATCACCGCATCTATTTTCGTGTATTTATTTATTGTTTTCGTTTTTAATTTTTCCCCTTTCTTGGATTTTTTTTGCCACTTCCTTTAAATTACGACACCGAAGATGTCAATGACGCCATCGATGGTGGTCCTGCCCCTTTGATTTTTCTTTACTTTTGTTGTTATCCTCGGTAATAACGAACGACGGTCCTTCCTCAAATTACTCTCTTCCCATGTCTCCCCCACTACTCTCTAAAATCAAATCGGTCGAATCAATTTCCCTATCTTTTATAATAAGAGGAGAATATATAGACTAAATTTTTTACTATATCAAATCCCAAAAATGATATGACAGGGTGGAAGTACGTATTCTAACAAATTGATCATGTTCAAATATATATCACAAGAATTTAGTACTTAATATTTGAAGTTAAGGTGAAATGGGTTTACCTGGAATGCACTAACAGGAAAGTCAATCGCCAAACTCCATTTAAAGTTTAGTTTGAAAGGTGATTGTGGTCAAAAAGCATGGATCAAAACCCACCGAAATTCCCTTTTTCGTATCATCTTTCATGTAAAGTTGCAAAAGAGCAATTTATAAAAAGAAAAGGATTGCAAAAACACTGTTTTCTTGCGCTTCGGTTAGAACATGGCTGACAGTTCTCGTGATCCAACTGTAATCACATCGTGTCATGACCATTTCATTTCAAATTAAGTCTAATCTTAATATGAATAATATATATCTAAGATAAGACATGAAGGGTATTTAAGGAAGAAAAGAGAAAGTAGACTACTTGAAAGTAGGAGCTTCCATCTTCCTTTTATATAGTAGCAGAGGTAACATCTCATTTAATGTGTAAAAATGTGTTCAGATGTATATTAATGTGTCCGAATATGTGCAAGCATATTATTGTATTGACACGAGAAAAATGTTAACCCGTTTAATCAAATGTGTCCAAACATGTTATGAATAGATTGAAAGGGCAAATCCGCGAAACATATACAAACGTGCCGATGAGTCCACCATTGAACTCAATTGGAGCACGATTAAGTGCGTGTCGGATGTATATTGTATGAATAGGACGTAACGAAAAATTATGTGGCACTCAGTGAGAAGCTAAGCCATTCACTACTTGATGATCATAAATCTTGGTCACGACCCTTGCTTCATCTTTTCAATTGGGTGCACAGGCAGACTGCTCAGACCCTGGGAGATATCATACTTTGATGTTCCCCATGAAAACTACTAGGAGGGGTTCCCCAAAGTCCAAGCCGTGGTGGGAATCCTCAACTCGGTCAATAAAAGCTTCAAATCCCAACCTTCCATTAAAAAAAAAAAAGCTTTGGGCTATCTAACTTCGAAGCCATGCTTCGTTTAATTCAATTGATATATGATAATAACCCACACTTACACTCTCCAACTTAGAGAGAGAGTCTACTTAAGAAAAAAGCTTTCACAAATATGTAAACACTTTATTTTTATATTATCACTGCATTTGTAATTCGCACGGCAAATAATCTGAGTTATAAAAGATTTATTAGAAATTTCGCTATTAGATGTTAAATATGGCTCACTTATTGAAACTTCCCCTTACAAGTTATGACGGGTGTATTCTTTGTTTAGAAAACGGGAGGCGGTTATTTTCATAATAGGCTCGTGGTATTTCACAAAATACCTTTCTCCTTAACCATACGACTAAATTACTCTTTTCCACCTACGCGAAGACCCCTTTTAAATTGGCTCGATTGTGAAATCACCCATGGTGTTTTCATTTCCATAAAATTACCCTCAAATTTGTACATAATGTCTCTCACGATGTATCCGATACACTACATCTGATCTCATTCCCTCTTAGTCATTAGAACGGGTGAGTCTAATACGAGGCTCGCAAAATTTAATGTCTGAGAAGGAGTGGACGCATAGGCTTCATTTGCATACAAGAATATTTCCTCTCTGAGTAGTTTTCCATGTTTTTTTACCTAGAAAATCCTAAGTGGCAAAAATTCATTCAAAACCCTCTAATTTGTAATTAAAAAATGAGTTTTATCTCTACTTCGATCTAACGTACCAAGTGCATTTTGTACTGGGAATGTGCATTGGTGTCCTAAATCCTTTGTGAGTGCCTTGATACGGGCTTGCCCGGAGCGCATCGTTTGTGTACAATTGGGTCATATAAATATTTTAGAGGTTTCATATTTTTCTTATTTTTTATAGTTTCTAGATGATGTTAACCCAAACACATATAATGTCCACACATGTAGTTTCTTGATGTGTATTGCTTATACCGTTGATTAATACCACTAAATGTCGCATTTTCAAACAACCCGTTTTCATTCTTGCCTCCTACAAAATATTCTACAAACTATGCATGTATCTCTTAGTATTGGAATATAGCGCGATTGAGTCGGCCGGTGTACTACACGTAACCAAGGATGGTACACGCTCCACGGTTTCTCGAAGTATGCAGCTCATTCCCACTGCCAAGCATTGTACACCCGAAGAAACAGCCTCCTTGTTCTTTCGCCATGTACTGATGAAGTACTAAGGTGTGCTGCAGCGAAGTCTGCTGTCGTGACTGTTATCAGGCAATTTCTGGTCATTGTTGATTGGAATCGTGGGGTCGCGACTATGCATGTCTTCAAGCCTTCATCCCCAGAGAGATAGCCAAACTGAACGCTTCAATGCGATGCTGGAAGTATATTCGAGGCACTACATGAGTGCCAACCAGAAGGCATTCTCGTCATGCCGAGGATCCTTCCGTAGCGTTACCTTGAGAAAAACGATAGGCGATTTATCTGCAAGTATGAAGGGCCAATGCCAGTATTGGCCAAAGTGGGAAAAGTTGCTTATCAGCTTCAATTGCCTACTTGTTTGGAAAATCATCTAGTGTTCCATGTGCGAGTTGCTTGAAGCCTTGCCATGAAGACACGGAGGACCAGATGCGGAATGTACCGACTCGACCGGACATGAATATTGACTTCCCAGTAGGCGATGCCATGGACGAGATCCTAGCCAAGCGGATTGTCCAAGACCCACTTGCAGGTGCCAGAGCAAAAGGAGTATCCGGTTCAGTGTAAGGGTTAAGGAGCGAGAAACACCGGCAAGGAGCTAGAGGAGGACCTTGGATTGCTCTCTCGCCGCGAATAACAGGGTAAGTCGCCAAGGACGCCGATAAATTAATTGGGCGAGAGTGTCACCAATTCTTGGCGAACGTCTTGATTCGTGCTTGTCTAGTACTCATTATCCATGGCCACTTAGGTTGACCACGCATCAACATAGCATAGATGTATACTAGTCATTTTATGTTTATCTTATATTTCGTGATTTTAAGATGGTTCCATCTTAAGCACAATGTTTTACAAAGTTCTTTAGGAGAGTTCAAACTACTCAAACTTTAGGAGAGATCCTTGATGTCCATTGATTGTACCATCATTTAATCCAACTAAGTAGAACATTTCCTCTCGGCCCATCCTCACTATTACAAACGATCCCGCGGACTAACCATGTACCTTAGCATCGAGAAATTATGCACTCGAATCGATCAATGTACTACTGGTGAACGAAGATAGTAGATCGGCATCGACCGCTCGGACCGGGACATCTAGAAATCTCGATCGTCCTAGGTTTTCCCTGTTCGGTTCAGCCCGAACTCCAACGTCTCTTCAAAGATTAGTACGTTACACCTCCCTTCCTCTCCACTCCTATTCTTTTACTCTCTCACTACCGCTCACAGTATCAGTCCCACCCAGAGTCTCCTCCAGTGCCAAGATTGTCTCCTTCCTCCTTCACCATTCACACTCTCTCTTGCTCCCTCACTCCACCTCCAACCTCCATCTCTCCGCCTCTCTCCGCCATGACCTCCTCCGCATTACCTCCGTCGAACCTCGCTCTCCATCTCCTCCTCCTCCTCGTTTCCGGTCAGTACCTCTCGACTCGATCTTCTTCTTCTTCTTCTTCTTTCTGAAATGTGCTCTGCAGCTTGACTGGTTTGCTTGCCCCCCACTTTGCAGGCCTCGCGTCCCCGTCGGCGATGGCGGCTCCGATCGGCGTCAACTACGGCCAGATCGCCAACAACCTGCCGGCGCCGGACCACGCGGTGGCGCTGGTGAAGTCGATCGGGGCGACCCGGGTCAAGCTCTACGACGCGGACCAGCGCGTCCTCTGCGCCTTCGCCCGGACCGGCGTCGAGTTCACGGTCGGCCTGGGCAACGAGTTCTTGGCCCAGATGAGGGACCCCAAGAACGCTCTCTCCTGGGTCAAGACCAACGTCCACTCCTTCCTCCCCGACACCAACATCACCACCATCGCTGTCGGCAACGAGGTCCTCACCTCCAACGACACCTCCCTCAGGTATCATTCACATTAGTACCGTCGATTCACGCTCCCACCTCCATTTCTGACAGCAAGTTTATGTCAATTCGCTACATTGTATTTTAATCGACGGTCTTGTTGTTGCTGTGCCTCAGGGACCTCCTCATGCCGGCAATGCGGAACGTCCACGACGCGCTCGCGAGCCTCGGCCTCGACAAGCAGGTCACCGTGACCACGGCCCACTCGCTGGCCATCCTCGACACCTCCTACCCGCCGTCGACGGGAAAATTCCGGCGAGATCTCGTGAGCCGCGTGAGCCAGGTCCTGGACTTCCACTGCCGGACCGGGTCGTCGTTCCTGATCAATGCCTACCCGTACTTCGCGTACAAGGCGAACCCGAAGCAGGTCCCGCTCGACTTCGTCCTCTTCCAGTCGTCGCAGGGGATCACCGATCCCTCCACGGGGCTCCGCTACGAGAACATGCTGTTCGCGCAGCTCGACGCGGTCCACTCGGCGCTCGCCGCCGTCGGGTACGCCAACATGACGGTGCACGTGTCGGAGACGGGGTGGCCATCGAGGGGCGACGACGATGAGCTTGGGGCGACGCCGGAGAACGCGAAGAAGTACAATGGGAATCTGATGAGGATCGTGAAGCAGAAGAAGGGGACGCCGATGAGGCCGAATTGTGACCTCAACATATATGTGTTCGCGCTGTTCAATGAGAACATGAAGCCCGGCCCCATGTCGGAGAGGAACTACGGGCTGTTCAAGCCGGACGGGACGCCGTCGTACATGCTCGGCGGCGGCGGCGGCGGCGGCGGGGTGAGCAATGCGACGAGCTCTGGAGGGTCCAGTGGGGGCGGGAGCGCTTCCGACGGGTCGCCACCGGCACCGATTGGTTACCTCTCCGTTTCCTCCGGCGCGGTGAGTTTTGGCAATGATTTGCTTCTCGATATTTTTCTTATTATATTCTGTTCAATTTTCCGGATGTTCGTTTTCTCTTTTCCCGATAAATGTGGTGTTAAGTAATTATTTGTGTGGTTAATATAGGATATAGTTTTAGAAAAAGTAAATTATTTTAAAAAATTTAGGAGGAGTTTGTCACTATGTCTTGTAAATTTATTTGTAAACAAGTAAACCTAGCATTATGCTATAAGTAACGGACTAATGGACTTTTGAAATGTGATTCATAATTGAACATAGGGAATATAAATAAGCGCAACACTTTTCGAAAAATAAATTACATTAAGTTATTGGGGAAGATTGCATTCTTTTCGGTTTTCATTCCCCAACTATAGAATTGTTGATTTTGTTTGTCAGATTTCAATTTCGCAAGTTTTAATCATTTAAATATAGACTAGTATTTATAACTAAGACCTCTTATGTAAAAATAAAAAAAAACGTTCATATGGACAATTAAGGTCATTTAAAATCATATGAACCTTTTCACTTTTTTGACAATTCAAACGTACAGTATTTCTCATTTTGGCTCGAAAGTCAGATATGTAACTTTTGACTTTCTGTCAAAACTTTTAAAAAAATTAGATATAATTTTAGTTTTAAACACTATGAAAAAATCAGATGGGGCTTTAATTGCATTTCATTTCACCACTAAGATATCACACTTTTTTTTTTTTATCTCACTATTTGGAGCCCGATGAAGTTATCCTAAGGTTTATCAGGACTTTACCAATCAAAGAGTGCACGAACAAAGCACGAAATAAAGTAACCCTTATCTTATTAATCTCTTATCTAGGGTTTTACCAAACACCGCCCTCATGTTCTTGGGAAGGCATGCTGCTAAAATTCCTCAATGTCAGGCTGCAGTAGCCTGAGATCAAGGTTGAGATCTCATGTTTGTCAACCGCCGCGAAAGCCGATAATTATTATTAGGTGCTGTCAGAGCATTACTTAACGTGCATGTTCGTGACGAGCGAGACTATTATAGATTAAGCGCCTTCCTTATCTCTTAAATCCGTTAATCGAGATCCGACCGACGTGTGATGCTTCTAAATTGGAGGGCATGTGGCTGTCTTTGGAGCTGAGTAGCTGCTGCTTAATCTCTGTGACATCACATGCCTTAGGCTAAGTTCATTTCCAATGTGCAACGGCTCTCTCAGTAGATATTGCTCTTATGTAGCTTTCTGCTTTTCTTTTTAATCTTTTTCACTTGGGTGCAAACTTTATGCTTTTATATTAGATTAGAGATTGCTGTGCGTAAATGATCCGAGTAAATTATTGAAGGGTTCATCGTCCAAGTAAAGGAAGATTCTCCGCCCTTTGGACGTGGCGCCTCTGTCACATTAACTCCCGATTCTTTAATTCTTTATTTATCCAAGCACTTTAAAAGTACTGACCGACCCAACCTGGAAGATTTAGATCTCTTTTGTCTTAACTTTGTAGATTTACGATCTTGAATCTACATCCAATTGTCTTCAGTTTAACTTGTTATGCTCCATTTGTGTTTCCCCTTCACTTCTGGTCTTAGTTCTGTGAAAGCATGAACAGTTGAACATGCTTGTTTTCCTTTTCTTTTTCAAGTTCTGTGACAGAAGGACATTAGTGATGAATTGATATTTCACCTGTGACTAGTCTAGTTGTTGGGGTTAGGTTTCCCTAATGTGAAGGTTCCTTAAAATGTCTGAAAAGTTGAACTTGCGCAAATGTTTTCCCATTTTGCAATTCGATCCAATGCATTGGTTCTTGGAGCTTTATAGTCGATTGTCATGTTCCTTTCTTTTGGGCGATTCGGCCACAACACGAGATTTAATGCAATGGGTTGAAATTCTTTTCTCGGTAATTCGATTTGACTCCGGCAAAAGAAGGATTTTTTTCATAGTTAGGCTGACAAAACTTTGTGCATTGTGTGTGTGTACAGAATGAACTCAAATCAGTAGGTGCGGCATGTCTCACTTTGGCTCTGTTCCTGATAAAGCTCGTCTTTTGAGGTTTGAAACCATCTGATTGTGATCAAGAATCAACGAAGTGGGTTATCTAAAAAAGAAGGTGAAAGACTTTTGGTTTCTCTTTTGCTTGTAAATCAGCTCCCCAGAATTCATGGGCAAAAGTGCATCTCCATCATATCTTCCCCGTCGAGTCCTACCCAAGCACAAGTTGCAGAGAGAGAGAGAGAGAGAGATTGATTGCTTTCGAGACCATCACTTGCTATTATTGGTACTGCACTTGGGTCCATATTATCAGAGAAATTGCAGAGAGACAGAGACGCAGAGAGAGAGTAGGGACATCGAGTGGGTGGGATATGTGTAAATGTGAAATGAATGGTAGCTTTTTTTTGTTTGGCTGGCGATGATCTGTAATTGTTTGGCACTTCTTTTTGGCGTTTTTGGGCAGGGTGGTGGGGGTGAGATTGTGCAGTGTAGTGTCTGCAATAATTCCTAGATGCCAATGTACTGCTATTATATTGCTATTTTATTCCGATATATCCTATCTAGGACATGTGGGATGATGCATGAGCACATCATTTTGGCCAACACAACCATTGTTCATTTTTTTTAGCCAAAAAAAAAAACCATTGGTCATTTTACCTCTGGATAGGAACATGGGAAAAAGGGACTCTATGGCTTCCTTTTACAGGGATGATGTGAAAGACGTGATGTAGGAAACAACCTAGCAGCATTTGCACCTAGGGCTCAATGTGAAAGAAGTTAATGGAAAACGTCAATGTAGAATTTAATGGATATGTACTCTAGGGATTAGGAGTACAGGTGGTTAATGAATGAGCTCTTGGTAGCTTTTAGCAGGGTCTCTTTCCGGGTGCCCGTGGGATTGAGGTCATTTCTAAATCCTAAAATCCTACTGATGTCAGAATAAGATTTTCCTAAATATAATTTTAATTACTCTATTCTAGATGAACATCTAATCCTAAAATTAGGTTAAACAAAGAAAAAATCTCAAATAATAAAATCTTATATCTATCAAATAACAGATGAAAATTAAATCTTGAAATCCAGAGCACAAGGCAAGCTGTCGTAGCTCAAGTCAAGTGAGGTAGTGAACAAAGGACACGAAATTATCTGTCCAAGAGAGAGAGATGGAGTTTCAAGCCCTTGTTCGAGCAAGCAATTAGTTTGTCATTACCCATCTGATGAAATTCTGAATTGTAACCCGCAAGTAAACCGAACTGATAAGCATGATCTTGCAACCAGTGGATGGGTTATTTGGATAAGGGATTGCCATCCTCTCGGTTTCATCTTTTCAATGATGTTCGTGTACTTATCAACAAGAAGATCCGAGGTTCATCGGATTTAAAGGATCGCCAATGACTCGAAAATTCTGTGAGCTTGCCAAAGCCATATGATGTTTCTTTAGCTCCAGAATTTACTTTATAACTGCGAACAATGCTTCGATGTTTCAAAGTTCCTGATCTTGTCAACCCTCAGAAATTGACTAGCTGTAGAGATCTTTGACATAAAATTAGGTGTAGAGATCTGTAGGGCTTGGGAAAACCAACGAAAAAACCAAGTTGCATCCTTCGAGCAAAAAACTTAGGTGTCAAAAAGTACTGTTGATAGGCATCTCCTCGTTCCTCTTGTTCCTCTTCTTCCTCTTGGCCAAGCGGCTGATTTCATCCACTTCCTTTTTCTCGGCATCCTCTTTTGCCTTTGGTGCGGCTTGAGTGTCCCTCTGTATCGCGACTTTGTTTTAGCGCTGCAAACAACCAAAAAAAGAACATATGCATATCAAGAATGATATAAAAAGAGAAAAAGTTCTGTTGATATGCAACTCACTATCCCTCGCAGCTTGACTTATGCTCGTGAACATCATATGCATTTGGAAATCTTATCTGATAAGAGTCTCAAAACAATGGTATTTCCTGTGGATGAAGATGGGTTTCGAGCTCGGCCCCGGTTGATGACAACTTCTCTCACTCGGCCGAAGAGACGGGAGGCAAATGTCTCGGCAACGATAACTACTTTCGGAAGTTGGCTGGCCATTTTGCTGAAGAGGAAAACAAGGTGCTGAGGAGGAGATTGGGATGAACTAGATTGTCTAGGGGAGTGCTCGAATCTGTACGCGATTCTTTTGCGAAGATGGGGAAAGTTCCATTTTGGTTAACTCCATATGGAATAAAAGTTTTTTACGAATCACTGGGATGTTGATCACGCCGATAGGTCCCTTCCAATTGTACTGTTAAATAAAATTTATCCTACCCACACAACAAATGATGAAAAAGTTAAATCCCGCTTCTGTGAAACACTTTCTTTTAATTTAACCCACCTGCACCCTTAAAGGTTACATAGAATCCTTTTCATCATCTTCGTATATTATCTTCACTTCTTATCATCATTCTCTTATTATTTATATACAAAATAATAGTTAAGGATACGTGTTATTGTAAGGTTTTTTTTCACAAAAATATACATAGTACACGCACAACGCATGCGCAAAGTCTAATTAGCGTTCTACTATAATTAGTTTAAAAGAATGCATCATCTTCGTTTTTGGCAGTAATTGATGAACAGTGGATTATCAGCTACTTTGCTGCAACGTGTGATGTGAACCTGAGAACTGAGAAGACTTTCTTGCTGATAGCATGGCAAGCGGTCTTTTGGATAGTCGTTTGATATTTCCAGTAAAGTGCTAATTACACGGTTCTTTTGAATTGTCAACTAGCAATCCAACAGCTGCATGAAGAGCTTCGTTCTACAGAGGTTGATGACCTGAAAAGTTCAACCTTGGTCCGATAATGCTTTGAATGCTGTCGAGATAACGAAATGCAGTGGTTACTTACGGTTTTGGCATTGCACTTGACATCAATGTATTTCTGTTGCTGGATTTCATTCATGGACATCCGTTCCATTGAGAACACCAGTTATGCAGGTTTTCGTGATGCTGTCCAATTCCACACCTTTTGCAATTTCAGACATCAGTTCCTGCGCATGATATGGGCTCCCAGCCAAGATCAGCGGACTCCAATATACGCTGATTTTCCTTCCTTTCACTGGCTTTTCATGCCTGAGAGATATTGCACAATGAGTTAGATAACATAAAAAGCCCAGCCATTTTGGTTCAACAAGAAGCACTTTTAGTTTCTCCCAGAGTAACTCACCCGTCAATAGAATCCGATGAACTTTTGAACGAATCGGGCAGGTTGAGAAGTGAGAAATCTGGGAAGGTAAAGAACAAAGCTCTGCTCCTTACCTAAAAAAAAAAAAGAACAAAGCTCTGTATATGTTTCCACATGCCAACTTTCTCACTACAGAAGGAGTGACTAAAGATTTCATTAAAGCAAATCAAAGCCCTCATATGCATTCTGACCCACCTGACACAACAAGCTGAATCGAATATGATCATCCTCGTAATCCAATCCAGCTCTAGGACCGTAAATTCTGGATCTCATCTTGCCCCACACCTTCAGCAATTAAGGAGCGTCAGGAAAAACAGATCAAGATAATGCAATATAGTACCGTGATATCACCCAAGAAAAAGAGCGGAAAAACTCATTTCATTCAACTAGCGAAAATTGATAAATACATCAACCCCAGTATAGGACCTGGGGGATCGAATCAGCGCCTTGCCAGACGACATTACCACCGCCACTCACCTCGCCTTCGATGGAAAGATTGGGAAGCGGTTTCGCAATATCTTCGGCTTCGCGTCCTTTTGTCGACAGCATCCGGATCCGGTTCACCTCGTCCACGGTGAAGACGTTCCGCGTCACGAACTTAAGGTAAAATGAGGTCGTCCGCTCCGAGCTCGACTCCCGTCTCAGCTTCGTGAAGGAGGGCCACGTGGAGGAGATCCGCCTGTCGTTTTCCGCGCCCTTCTTGTATGGACTGCCGACGTCCTTGTATTGCTTCAGTTCGCTGGTGAGCCTGGAAGTCAGTTCGTGCCGTTTCTCGTTGGATGGGACTATTAGCTGGCCTCGTCTTAAGGTCCTGTCGGTCGAAAATGTGGAACTGAGTGAAGATGTGCTCAAAGGGAATTTTCATGGCAAGTCCTCTTTTAGAGTCCCTTAAGCTGCGCGAGTGCTGCAGGTTGCTGAAGAACATTATGATAGATGCAACAAGTTCGAAAGAGCTGGTACTCGTCGGCATTATTTTCTTTAACGTGGAGAAAATCTGGGCACCGCATTTGCTGTCATTGCGGGTTTCTGGGGACCGGTGGTCTATTTCCAAGTTCAGACCCAACGATGTATCTTCTTTGGTGGAAGCCCAGTTGGATTTCGTCTTTCGAACTGATGACGGCAATGATATTCGAACTGATGACATGAGGATACGCCCCGACTTTGTGAAGGAACTTTTTGGGAAGCTCCGCGGAGTTCACACAACCACCATTAACGGATGGTGTTTGCAGGTACAAGTTCAATGCTTTCACCATTTATAAGACGAACTTGTGTTGAATGATGTACCTGTTGAAAATGGGAAGCTGAGAGAAAGGAACACAAGATAATACTTAGAATATTCTTTGATATTTTTGTGGCTTGGCTATATTTAAATGATTCAATCGCAAGCCCTTTTATAGGTACATAAAGACCCTTAGTACATTGTATGCATTTATTAAAACCTCATAAAACTCCTAGAACTTTGTAGTACAAGAATCTTGAAAGTCTAATGGACTAATTAAATGCATGATACATACATGAACTACATTAATGCACCTAGGAAGAAGTACATGGATAATACCAACCTTAGAATAATGCACCTCGATTCATGAATCAAGTTTAATTTTCAACACTCCCCCTTAAACTTGATTATATCTAGTGACTCCAATCGAAGCACACAAACTTGCAAAATCTTCAAACTTCAATGCCTTAGTGAAGATGTCGGCAATTTGATCATTGGTCTTCACATATGCAAGCTTCACTTCTTTCTTCTCAATGCACTCTCTTATGAAGTGAAATTTTGTGTCTATGTGCTTGGTTCGATCGTGAAAAATGGAATTCTTTCCCAAAGCAATAGCAGACTTGTTATCAACATAAATTGTGGTAGCAACCTCTTCTGGCATGCGAAGCATCTTCAACAACTTTCTTAGCCATATTGCATGACATACACATGATGCAGCAAATACATACTCGGCTTCACAAGTTGAAAGAGTCACAATTGGCTGCTTTTTTGAACTCCAAGTAAATGTAGTATCACCCAAGAAAAATAAGAAGCCAGTGGTGCTTTTTCGATCATCAACATCACCACCCCAATCACTATCACAATATCCATGAAGCTTGAAGTTTCTAGCGGGAGAATAAATTAAACCGTAATCAAGAGTACCTTTTATGTATCGAAGTACCCTCTTGGCCATCTTCATGTGATTCTCGGTAGGTGCTTCCATGTATCGACTAACAAGATCAACACCATAGAGGATATCAGGTCTTGTGCAAATTAAATACCTCAAACTTCCAATAAGACTTCTATAAAGAGACGCATCCACCTTCTTACTTTCATCAAACCTTGACATCTTTGCTCCACATTCGATGGGAGTG